TTTTTATGCCTTAACTATTACTAACGTTTTTTATGACCTTTTTATTGCTTACTAATATTATGACTTTTTTGCTCGATACTTGACCTATAAACTTCATTTGACTTACTATATCTTGATTTAGTTCAACTGACTTTGCCTATACTATACTATGACTTTTTATGCCTTACTATCATGATGACTTGATTTCTCCTACTACTAACGTTTTGTTGCCTCATACACAATACTATGACTTTTTATGCCTTACAATAACTATGACTTTTTATGCCTTACTCACTCATAATCTTTATTATGCGCTTATAACGTTTTTTATGACTTTTTGTGCCTTACTATTACTATGACTTTGTTAAGATTACTTATACTATGACTTCTTTATTCCTTACTACATATAATATGCGAATTTTTACGTCTTTACTGATAGCTATGACTATTCATTGCTTACTATATGGACTTTTTATGACTTTTTATGCCTTACTATCTAATTCTTGTAGCCTCTATTTATTTTTTGACTTTTTGTTCCTGTACTATAATATGACTTTTACTCTTACTATATAGTATGGTCTATTTATGTGCTTACGTATACTATCACTTTTATGACTTTTTTAATGCCTTACTACTATGACTTTTATGAGCTTGACTTACTTTAGGTTGATCCTTACTATTCTATGCCTTCTTTATGCTTCTTCTATGACTTTTTATGCCGTTGCTTGATAGCCTATACTCCTTACATTACTATGGACTTTTTATGCTTCACTATTTACTATGACTGTTTTATGCTTACTCAACTATGACTTTTTATACTTTTATGTGCCGTTAACGTATAACTATGACTTTGGTTGATATGCCTGGACCGTATACTATGACTTTTTATGCGGCTCTAATGGAGCTTTATTCTGCTTATTGATCTTTTTGCAGTTCTTACTATACTATGACTTTTTTACTATACTATGACTTTTTATGCCTTACTATACTATGACGTTTTTTATGACTTTTTATGCCTTACTATACTATGACTTTTTATGACTTTTTATGCCTCACTATACTATGACTTTTTATGCCTTAATATACTATGACTTTTAATGCCTTACTATACTATGACTTTTTATGCCTTACTATAATGTGACTTTTTACGTCTTACTATAGTATATTTATGCTTACTATACTATGACGTTTTTTTTATCACTTTTTATACCTTACTATACTATGACTTTTTATGCCTTGCTGTAATAAGACATTTTATGCTTTATTATCCTATGCCTTTTCATGACTTTTATGCCTTATAGTATGAATTTTCATGACTTTTTATACCTTAATATACTATGACTTCTCATGGTTTACTATACTATGACTTTTTATGCCTTACTATACTCTGAAATTTTATATTATCTATGTCAAAAAGTTACCATCACTGTTCTAGCCCCATACTGTTTTGAGTAAGTCAGTTACACTGGTGATTGTAAGTAATATGGCGAGTGTAGCATCTTAATCTGGATGTTTTAATTTCCCCTAAAAATATGTTTGTCACTGTTGTCTCAAAGTTGTTACATTTTCTTTCAGAGAAAAAAACATTAGATAAATTGGGAAATTTTCCTCAGCCGTTTTACAAAACTAAGTAAATTTGTTTAACTTATGACTCTGCTGAACACTTTGAGGTATTGATACCTGATGTTTATTTTTCATGAAATGAGTCTCAACTGTATTTGTGTGATAAGTTTTCTGATTCTCTGGAAAATTCAACTACGAACTTCTTTCTGAATTTTTTCATTTCCTGTAATGAGGGAAGAAACTGTCCAAATACCGAAAACAAACTCACGTTTCATACATAGAGTATTTATTCAAAAAATTAAATATAACAACCAAATAAAAAGGCTCAACTTAGGACCAGGATCAGATGAGTGTTAAGACAAAAAAAACAAACTGTTTTACTTCTAAAAGTGACACCATTTCATCATCAGGCAAAAAAACAACAAAAGCACATGAAAATACTGTGAAACCCAAACCTCCATTTTGTTTCTGAGTGTGGTGATATGCAGCCAACCACAGATTTGTTTTTGTGGGGAGACGGGCACTCAAAGAACTATCCCAAGTCTGCAAACTTCTAAATTTCACATTGATACAGAAAAACTAAAACCATAAAGAGGTTTGATAGTGACATGCAAACACAGAGGGAAGGCCAGGCAAACCGACTGCACAGAAACTTAATGATTGCTTCATTATTGCCGTTCATCTGAGAATGAACCATAAATTAAACTCTGAGGGAGGAAAACAGGCAGTAATAGAGGGGTCACGTCCCAATAGAGATAAGGTTAAATAAATAATGCTACATAATGTCTACACTGAACTACTCTTCACCTACAGAGTCTTGAATGTTCCCCTAGTTTATTTTCTTTGATTCAGAAATCTAAGTTTGTGGGTTTGTGCTTCAAAGTGCCCGTCCACTAAAAACTGATCCCCACAGGCCTTTTGGTCCTGCAGCTCCAAACTGATCAGTTCTGCATATTATGTGTTCTTGGCATATGTCAGAGGTACTCACACACACACACACACACACACACACACACACGTGCACGCACGCACACACACACACCTTACAGTATTGTCATGTATCAATATACTTGTTAATGTAGACTTTCTGAATGTTAAGATTTCTTTGATTTACTTGTTTTTTTTCAGCACCATCAGAAAAGGCACAGTCTGTTAACGGACTGGTGGACGAACTTTCAACCCTCCTCCTCCTCTTCTTCTTAGGAAAATGCAAAAATAATTTTAAAAAATGATGAAGTTTGGGAAACATATGAAACCCCATCAGAATAAAAGTCTTTCACCTCTCTGCTGAGCTACTGAGATGACAAAATGACAGAGTGGAGGGAGGTCGTCTCAGGTCGTCACGGTGGAGGAGGGTTGATGGTTCATCGCCGTGACAACACGACCGCAAACAATCTCCACAAAGCAGCAAATGCATCGCTTTTGCTTTTCACACAAGTATTGCATCATCAAATTTGGAAAAAATGATCACAGACCACTTTGATTATTAAATTCCATATTTCAACACAGCTTCTGCTTCAAATAGGACTTTGTTAGAAAAAATAAGTGGTGTGCATTTACATTAGTATCTTTAAATATAAATATATCTCCGTTCAGATTAAAAATGCTTCTGTTTGTGAGGAAAAAGGCGACTGCAGGTCGATTTACTGTGAGTGGCATCATGACAGGAAAAGGGATTTCCATAATAAGGCTCTCTCTATATATTACAGAGGAGGATTAGGGCCATGTCAATTTTTTTTTTTTTTTTTTTTACTTTAAATCTCAGAATTCTGACATTAAAAATTAAAATTTTCTCAAAATGCTGATTTTTAATCTCTTGAATAAAGTTTTTTCACATGGCCCTAATCCTCTTCCATACTATACATATACATATATACATATATAAACTCTCTGAAACAGGCGGCGCACTAACCAGCAATGTTAAACATGCCCACGACTTCTAGAACTATTCAAGTAAAATCAAATGCTGGTAATGTCTGACATTAAGAAACAGCTTCAACATGACAACAAACACAGAAGGAAACGATCTGCTGAGATATTCTTACAGTTCGAACTGCAGCAGAGAAACAATCTCCATCAACCAGAAACACATGTATCTTTTAAGTGCAGTTAAACTCCATTATCCTCTCATATATTTCATCTATATGTATCTGATGAGATATTATATTATAAATGTTTTCTTATAGCAGCTAAGGTTTGGTTCTGGTGACATGTGGCTAGCACAGTTAGCAGTACAGAGGCTTTTAGCACGACGCTGTAAGAGCACTGACACCACGACCACCGCCTCCCGTCCTCCACCCTCACCCTGACCAGGCACGTTGGTTTGGTCCAAGTGATAAACTGAAGGCTTCATCTGGATTAAACTGCACGGTCATGAAGGACAACAACCTCCAGGGCTGAGCAACAAACACTGTTTCTAAAACTCTGGAAACCACGGTCGAACCGTTCAACTCTTCAAAATGCTGGATTCTTCCTGGTAACTTCACTTTTACGTCATTATATTGATATTTGTTTGGTTGTAGTTGCATAATGACTCCGTTTTATCCAAAATACAAAGATATATTTGGAAAACTGTCTTGGAAATGTGTTAAATTTCAACGGAGACTCCCGCCAGTGAATCTGTCTGTCTCACCTGGATGAACGTAAACCTGCTCAGAAATTCATCATGTGTGAGATTATTCATGTTTTATTTTCACTTGGAAACAAAAATACTTTATGATCTCAACATAAACACCTTAGTTTGTTCTTTGGATCTTTACAAAAATACTAATTAGTATGAGAAAACAAAGATGGACCAAAGTATCTGTTGGATGCTTGGAATTAAGTATTTAGTGATATCAAGAAAAACAGGAAATTATTTTTAAATGTTTGATATTATAATCTTAGATTTAGCCTGATAATAAGTGTCATTTTTTGTGTTTGGACAAATCAGAGAAGTAAACAGGTTTCATAGATTTCTGAGACTCGAGTAAATATTTGATTTTGTTTTATGAAAATAGTTTGTTTTCTTGAAAAAAAGTACATTTTTGTATATTGTGAGAAATATTAATAATTGGAGAAAATAGTTTGTGATATTTCATAATCAATGTAAGCTGCTGTCTTTTGTGTTGAAATCATAAGATAATTTAGTTTCTGATCATTAGAAAACAAAACATTAAAAATGCTCTCACACACTCGGCCTGTTCTCAGATCAGCTACAGTCCTCTGCTCTGGGCAGAGTATTCATTAACAGACACTCAAACCTACATATCGTTAAAATCCTTCCCTCTTCAAACCAAACAAGGCACTTTATTTAGTCCGTCAGTCACCATCAGACGTCGCTGATCCCGCTCCTTCATCAGAATGTCAAATACTGAACATTCCTGAATCCAAGTTCATTGTCACTTTCCTAAACTCTCATAACAAACGTTTCATCAGACGAATACTGATGGGAAACATTCAGCACCTGCTCTCTCTGCTCCAACACCTTATTGCACCAAAGGAGTTCATCACGACTAAACTGCTCGAGTTCTTCTGAACAACTGAAATAAAAAATCTAAAAGGTTTGTGGTCGTCAGAAGATACAAACTCTCCTCTCTGTTCTATTGCTGAAACTGATGTTCATTTAAAATTCTAAAAAAAGAAAAAAAGAAACTCATAAATAGCAAGAGGAATAAAACACACGGAAAGGTTTGGTGTAACGCACGGTGCCAAGATGAACTATCACTCAGAGAAGGTTAAAATCGTCCATTTCATGGCTGCGGCGTTGTTTTCTAACAGTCCTCTTCACTGCACTTAAAGTCGCCGAGCGACACGCGGCGCCTCAGAGACTCGACGCTCGTGGCTTCTCTTAAAAAAGTGAAGGTTTCATTCGGTGGGTTGGTGTGAGAGACCGAGGAGCCGCTGGCTTAAAGGGAGACAGAAGAGTAACCACGAAGGCTCGTGTGTTTTTTGTGAGTGTTACTCGACTAACAGGTTGCCATGGCGATCAGACAAACAACACGTACAGTATCTAGAAAGTTGAAAACACACAAACAAACAAACAAACATGTAAAACCGTCGACTATATAAACCAGCGACGTCAGGCTCAGCGTGAGGCTAGGGAGCGAGTCGGTCCTCGCTGGTTCGGCTTCGTTCCCGTCCATGCACCAAAAAAATCATCAGTTTTTAGATTCCCGCCGCTCCGCCATGATTTAAAGACAAAAAAAACAGGAAAATAAAAGTTTGAGCTGCTGTTGAATCTGGAGGCTTAGAAAAAAAGAAAACAAAAGAGAGAATTCATGGTGATGTAAATACAGCAGAGGAAACGTGGAGGAGGAAGTGATGCATGGGTCGGAGCACAGAAACTATTGGCTGGTTTCAGATTGCATAATGTGGCTGTAGCTCCTCCCCCTCTGGCTTCTGTCATCCTCACGCCGCCTCAGTAGCTGCCGGCGTCACCGTCGAGTTCCAGTGACCAAAGCTGCACCAGCAGGGAGTCGGACCCTAAGACTGTGGCTGGGAGAGGTGGAGGGGCGTGGGGGCGGGGTTTCAGGCAAAGTACATGGTCCTCAGTGTGTCATGGTGGATCTGAACAGCCTTCGCCAGCGCCGTCGGGTCTCTGCCGTTACTCTGCCCTGAGACGTGGCTGCCCTCCGCACTGTCCGAGGAGAAGAAGAAAAACAGAGACGAGGACCAACATCAGTGACAGTCAGTAAACACTCAGATAACACCTGTAAACACCTGTAAACGCCTGTAAACACCTTTAAACACCTTTAAATACTCAGTAAACACTCAGATAACACCTGTAAACACCTGTAAACACCTGTAAACGCCTGTAAACACCTGTAAACACCTGTAAACACCTGTAAACACCTTTAAATACCCAGTAAACACCTGTAAACACCTGTAAACACCTTTAAATACTCAGTAAACACGTGCTCCCAAAGACAAATCTATCAAATTATCCATCTACACTATCTAGATCATTGGTTGTGAACCTTCAGGCCATGAAGGTGAAAGGCCGAGAAATCATTTACAAAACAGAACAATTTTGGTGAAAAAATGTAAATAAATGTAAATAAATGTAAATAAATGTAAATAAAGAGAAAATATTAATAATGTTTTAATCTGTAAAAACATGAAAAATGTTCTAACTCCTTTCATTGTTCCTCTGCTTGTGTTAAAGCCTCTCACTGTGAAAAGACAATGACAGGAGCTTTTATGTCGTCACCACCGGACCACATCACCAGAGCAAAGACTGGAGAATCACAGTGGAGAGCAGCTCAACAATCAGAGGAGAGATTCACTGATTCACCATCCGTCTCTGTCAAATGAAAAAGAAAAATCGATCTCCTGCTTTTAGTTCAGTCCTTATCATTAAAATAGAAACTGCTTTGAGAAGACATCAGCATTATTCGGCCTCCGTATTGTTCCTGGGTCGGATGTGGGCCGTCAACATTTGATATTTTCAGGTGGGACACGAGTTGGACACGGTTGGAAACCACTGATCTAGATATCAGATCAACCAGGTATCTGATAAGATGTCTTCATTAATGCTGCGGGGAACGACACACTGCCACAACATCAGAAACACCAACACACAATCGATCAGATAATCCAGTAGTGGATTAGTGGAGCTCATACAAACAATAAATAAAGTGATATCTGATAAATAAGATTAAAAATGAATTGATGATAGCCGTTACACTCTGTTTAATGTTCCTGTAACTTACTGTAAGTTATTAAAACAAGACTAGAATGTGTCAGTACTCGTCTAATCCTGATGTTAATGTCGTTCTCCAGGTAATACAGGTGTTCAAGTTCCACGTGTTTGTTCATTCAACAAATCAGTGGGTGGAATGTGAAATGTGTTACATCATAAAAAGACCTCACCTGTCGTGCTCCTTGTCGACCAGGTGGTAGCGGGCACGGAAGGCCACCAGGTGGGCGTAGTAGGCCGGTGCTGGGATGGAGACGGAGCGGGTGCAGCGGACGTAGGTGTGGCACAGCTGGTAGGTGAGGAGCTGGAACTCATCGGCGGTGAAACAGTTGTCGTCCCACAGGACGTGGTAGTGGGAGGGGCGACTCGTACCCTGGAGGGGGGGGTCGACAGTGTGAGGTGACGTAAGAAGAGAAACTACAGGATAATAAACCTTTATTTGTCTTCACTGGTCGCTGGAATCAGTCTCCAACAGACTGACACGTATCTCTGCAGAGTTATAAATTCATTTGTGATGAATTTGACAGTAAACGTCTCTGTCTCCACATTGTCTCCACACGCAGCTGCTACAGTGGTGAGAAAATATATTTATAATTTTCATATTCAGACGAGACAGAAACTACAGTGGACGGAGTCAGTCTGATGTGACGTGGCTGCTGTGATGTCACTATGACATCATCAGGTATCTTCTGTCTGATTTTGCCGGACGTGTCACACAGCAGCGAGCTCCTGGTCTAATGACAGAATCAACAGTAGAAACAACGACCTGGTGCCTCGTGACAGAAAACAGCTGCTGCCTTTCTCAACACTGACGTTTTAGAGCGGGAATTCTTTGTTGTTGCCTGATCACAAACAGATTTAGTTTTATTTTATCTTGTAACAAAGTGACATTTTTAAATCTCTGTAAAACTGAAGTTTTTCCTCTCAATAACGTTTGAAAGAGCTTCACTTCGAGGCAGAGCAGCAACTACAAAGGCCAAACACTCTCTCACCTGAATCCCAGCGTGACTGCAGAGGTAAAAGTCAAACTCGTAGGGGTGGGTGATGTCTGTGTCCACCGTGGTGCCGGCAGGAATGTTTCCACTTCGTCCAACCTGACAGAAACACAACAGAGTGATGTACGAGAACAGAGCCTCGGATGTTGGTTCACGCCTCAGTTCAATCACTTCCACCGTTAATGAAGTCAAGTGGTCTGTGCCGCTCACCCGCTCGTTGCGATCTGCGCAGAAGAGGCGCGTGTGATGGCGTTTCTGGACGACGATGTAGGTGATCCCCGGCTGGTATTCTTTCTCCAGACTGATGCACGCCTCCCTGATGGCCAGCAGCTCGTAGTACAGCACCTGCACAGAACACACTCAGTATTTATACTTCCAGGTTAATTAATCTATCCTGCACTGACGACTTACGTGTCAACAGTATTTACACAATCTGCTTTTATATATTTTACTGACTCTCTTCACTGTCAGATCCTTTTACATGACGCTGATGTTTTTATTCACTGTTCAAACTTCTCTTTTATCTGGTTTTATTTTTCTGTCAATTACTTTGTAACTTTGTTAAGAAATAAAAGTTATTATTATTATTTATTGTTATAAAATATCTAAGCTCTCAGCACAAACAGGAAGAGGAAAGAGGAGGTCCCACCTGTCTGAACTGTCCCTCCGACACTCCGTCCCTGTAGAAGATGATCCTCGTCGGCTTGTAGCGCGTCGACTTGTAGAACTGGATCAGGAGCTCTCGCACCATAGAGGCCAGGTCCTGGATGATCTCCTGTCTGGGCCTCTGGACCCGCACTGTGGCGCAGTACCTGCTGGGGTGGGCGTCCATACTGCCCACCACCTGTAGAGGAAGTCACAAGTCACAGTCACTGTTCTGCTCATGACTGTAAAAGCAACACAGCTGATGTAACGAGCCTTTCCTGAAAATAAGAATCAAATACAAAACCTGGCCCATAAAAACTTACATTTCTATTTACAGATAAAACTACAGTGTAAAACTGGAGAGTCTCCTGATATAAACTGAGGTCATGGTTTTGCCTGGTGTCAGTGTCAAACTGCAGCTCCAGCTTTGTTTTACACAACTGGTGCAACAAGAGTAAAATCACACTGAGTCTCCTCCTCCACTCAGACCAGCTCCAGGTCACTTCCTGTTTATCCACTCAGGAAATATGAAGTCTGTGACCTTTGACCTTTAGCCACCAAAATCTAATCAGTGCATCCTTGAGTCCAGGTGAATGTTAGTTCTGTTGGTGTTACTGAGACATCGTGTCCCCGAGAATAAGACGGACGACCTGAAACAAAATGGCCGCCGCTCTGACTGTCGCCGACGTGAAGGAATAAAAATTAGTTTGTGGTTTCAGGAGAAACTGTTCACTGTGATCCAAACACAGATTTCCATGTGTAGTTTAAGGGGGAGAGATGAAGTGACGTCTCACCGCTGCAATAGAAGGCTTTTTCCCGTCTCCTGCTGGAGGATGAGTGACGTCGGCGCCGAGGAAGATGACGGGCTGCTGGAACACAGACGGGCTGATGGACGAGAGGAGACATTACAGAGAGCCGTCACTGCAGTGACTCAGAGACAGACAGAGGACAGAGAGAGGTCTGCAGCTGCCACCACATGGAAAAACTTTTTTTTTTCTTTTTTTTTTTAAAAATCTGAATGAAAAATCCCAGAATCCTTTGAGGTTTTACCGTTGGTGTGGAACCAGGATGTTGTTGATTCCTCCCAGTTTGACGTTGATCTTGAGGCAGAGGTTGGAGAGGGTCTGAGGGGACGTCTTCACTACGTTCTTCACCTGGACGCACTGGGTGGCCATGCCCAGGAGGGTGTCCCCCACCCGCTTCACCTCCGCTGAGGGTCACAGGTTGAACAGTGATCTCTTTACATTTCCTGTTTACACTTCCTCACAATCTTGAAGTGACAACACTTCTGACTTTTCTTTCCTGTGCTGCTTTAAACTTTAACTGTGTTTGGTTTAGTTATTTGTTGAGCCGTTGTACCGTAGACGGGCGTCTTCCCCGGCAGGATTACGATGATGAGCTGCAGCCCGGCGTAGGTGTTCTTCAGGTGTCTGAACATGGGCTCCACGCTGTCGGCTCCCTGGGCGTATTTACAGAAGCACGGCTGACCTTGGATCGGCATCCCAGCATCCTTTGAGATTTTCCGCAGCTGGTCAGTGAAGCTCCTGAAGGAAATAATCAGTATTTAACAGTCGTCCAGAAAAACACTGAGATAATCTGGTGTGTTGAAGGGTTTAAAATCTATGTATGTAACTGACTGACTGACTGACCAACCCGTGATCAAACAGTCTTTTTTATGTTAAAACAAATTAATTTACTAAATTAATGATGATACCTGGTGATAATAATTCTAAATAAATGTATCTCACATCAGTGATGTTACAGTTTGACTAATGTCTAAAAATATGATTCACTAACATTAACAGAAGCTGCACACGAGGATCTAAAGGAAAATACAGTCATTACTATCTGACTGGTTTCTTCACTTTGTATCTAAGTGTTTTATTCTTTAAGTCTCTGTCAATAAGTAACTGAACAAACAGTAAAAATGATTTCTGTGAACTCACTTGAGGATCTCCTCCCTGCACTGCCTCTGGGTGGCGAAGCAGGCGATGGCCCACATCTTGATCTCCACTCCGGTGTGAAACTGTTTCCCCCTCATGTCCCACACGCCGTGGCTGGGCGTGGCCACCGTGCGGTTCTGCAACGACAGTGCAGGGTTGATCTGCTGGGGCTCACACGCACACGTACAGTACATGGACACACAGACAACGTATGGATTCAAAGGATTCAGGCAGCCAGTGAGATCACATGATAAAAGGCTAATGATTATCATTAGGCTGAGTGATTGATAAAGAGTCACTGATCATAGAATTAGAGACAAATTCATTTAAATTTCATCTGTGCTCGCCTCTGATTGGCTCATGCAGATCAGATGCAAAACAAGAGATTGCTTTTAAAATAAAACCGTTTCTGGGTTTGATTTGACAATATAATATAAACAATATAAAACCACAGCAAATCCACACATGAAAGAAAAGATGGGATTTATAGGCAAGATGTAAACAGAAAGAAATGTGATGTAATGTGATGAGTCATAGGAGTGCCATAAGAAGAATAAATCAATAAAAGAATTAGAAAATTAATGTGGAAATAAAAACAGGATTAAATAAAAAAACACAAACACTTTTCCCCTATTGTTCTTGTTTTTACCCTGTTACTGTTTCTTTCTCAATTCTTTTATTTATTTGTCATGATAGGTCCAATTTTTTTTATTTACTTATTTATTCTTTTATTTATTTCTGCTTTTATTTCCACAATTATTTTCTTATTCTTTTATTGATTTATTCTTTTTTATGGCACTCGTGTGACTCCATAGGAAACAAATCAAACATGAGAAAAATAAATCTAGATATTAATAACAGGGTTTCCTCATTGAGAAATTTTTGCAATTCAAATATCTAAAGACTCACAGGAAACGGTGCTAATATGATCTGAGTTTTTGGAGCCAGAGGAAACCTGCTGTTTCATGCTGAAAGACACACGTGCAAATGAAGCGTGATTTAAAGGGGAGGTACCATAAATGGTTCAGAGCTCACCCTGCCGCCATACTGCAGCATGGGGGCCGGCAGGACGCGGCCCGTCACCTGAGCCATCTCGTCTCGCACTCGGAACTGAAACTCCTGGACGAACGGGTCGGCCTCGTAATTCGCACTCCGCACCTGAAGAAGAAAAGATATTATTCATTATTTTACTTTACAGGAAACAAAAAGATGCTTCTTCCTCTCCTGGTCCACAGGACACTCACCAGCCGGCTGATCTCCTCCTGTCTGTCGGGCGCAGAGCGCGCTGTTGCTTTGATCATGGTCGACGTCTGGTTATCCGTTAGCTTTTTAATGCAGCGCTGTCCAGCTACGATGTTGCACACCTACATGAGGAAAAACACCCATTTACATTAGTCAAAAATAGGGCTGCACGACGTGCAGTTTAAATCATATTACGATTATTTTGGCAGATATTGACGTTTCAGTTTTTCAATTTTAAAATGACGATAATGTGATTTTTGTTGATACAAAACAAACTTGTTCCTTTACGTCTGGAAACTATGATCTGTAGGTCGAGCGTCTCTGTAGCTTAAACACACATCGACATGTCAACCAACCGGCTGGATATGAAAATATAATTTATGATTCATGGCACTAACTGGATTTTGATTGGACTAAAAGATTAAATGATTATCAGCTGCCAAAACATGTTTTTTTTCACATTATCCCAAAAGGTTACCAACCACGACGACAGACAACCTGTGAGGATTTCATTTCCAATCATTACTTTCCAGTCACCGTCAGTCCTCACCTCCAGGGGCAGGTAGGTGTGTTTCTGCTCCTGTCCCACCTGCAGACAGGGCAGGTGTGGATACTTCAGCTGCAGATTGTACTTCTCTCTGAAGTACTGCGCCACGGTGCGTTCGACCGTCTGACCGTTCTCCAGCTGCAGCGGAAATCTGCGGATTTGAAAGTAACGAGAATCTCTTATTAACTAAAGCCGGCGACGTCTTCGACTAGTTCACGGCTACAGGGAGGCGATGTGGGAACATACGTCTGCAGGCTGGCAGGGCGCCGGGTCACATTACAGACTCTGTACTTCCTACGCATCGTTCCACAGTGTGTCACTTCCACCTTCAGACCTGTGAAGATGGAGGAGGCACCGATGTGAAACAACACTGGTAAAATATGAGTGACAACAACTCAAGAGGCTTAAATTCCTTGTAGCTCCTTTATGCATCAAATAAACATTTATTACCCAGCATTCAATAGTGTGACTGACATCACACATGTGCAGGAGCTGCTCCTTCACTAAGCAGTGCAGGGTGAGGCGGTGACCTGGGGACATACCTTTGATCTCTTTGGTGAACTTGACCCTGTGGGAGTCGGTGAGGGGGCGGGGCTGCTCGTCAATGTTGTGAATGTCCAGGACCTCACACATGAACTGAATGACTGGCTGGGCTTTATAAAAGGCTGTGGCTGACACTGAAACGACACAGAACAACATCACACTGTAAAAAAATGACACTGATAAACTTTGATGATCAGCTGCTGATTAGAAGAAACATCGTCATTTCAAACAACATCAACATCAGAATATTCAAGTTTTCTGCAGAAACCAGATGTTCTGAGTCGGTCTTCAGGTTTGAGTAAAATGAAGTAACACTTGAATATGATTAACAAATATTCAACAGCTCTGGACACACTGTACTGAGAGAAGGATCCTCCTGTTATTTACCCTCATCTGGAAGACAACAACATGACTCCCAGAGTCTCTGTATAACAGAGCTGAGATTAAAATACATGGATCTGGTTCTTGGTTTTTTGAAGTCATCACACTTTCTCAGTTTCTTGCAGAGAGTCAGATGAGAAGACTGACACCTGTCTCATATCTGTCCATTAATAAAGAAGCCAAAGATGCCAAATGGTTAGCTTAGTTTAGCATAAAGACTGGAAACAGGGGGGGGGCAGTTAGCCTGGCTCTTAAGCATGAAAGAAACATGAGAATATAAATCTTCTCAAGTTTCCCAAAATGTGGAACTTTTCCTTTGAACTTCCTGGTTTCACGGTGTTTCCTCACCATCGATGTTGAGCATCATCTTCCACATGGCCGGCCGCACCGACTGATGGAAACCAAACCAAACCTCTCTCCCTCCGCCCAGCGGGTGGTCGTAGCCCTCCGGGGAGGAGAAGAAAGACCGTCCGACAGGTGTGTACCTGGTGAGGAGAGAGAGGACACGCACAACAGTAGTCACTGATCTTTTATAATAAAATATAAAAGAAATATTTACATTGATCTTTTCATATGATCTGAAGTTCTTTCAGTTCGACGTGGAGCTGAATTTCTTTACTTTTATTTTTAGACATTTCATTTAAAATTCTGTGCAGATGTCAGAGCGAGGGAACTCACTTCATGGAGGGGAGGTGTCGGAGGACGACGTCCACGGCGTGAACCGGGTTGGTGCTGAGGGGTTTCTCCAGGTCCAGCGGTTCGGACACGCCACGACCTGTCAGGACTTCGTGCAGCATGTGCCAGCTGACCAACGACACGAATCTGATGGTGACTTTAAAGGGGCGGTCCTTCCCGCCTTCACCTGGCAGGGTGACGTCCAGATCCACCTGAAGAGGAAGACACGGGATGTTTTAGCTCAGGTATTCATGATACAAAATACAAGTTCAGCTTTAATGTAGCACTGTGCTTTAGACTGTTGTTTCTCCAGATTACACAAAACACTAGTGTCGACTCTCACCCCAGCAGTGGCGACAGGAAGTGGGTTAGCAGTGTAGAGGCTTTTCTTCCCATCGTAGACCGGGAGACGGTCACCGAAGATGGTCACCTTGAAATGCTGAACCATGGAGTCCACCACCTCCCTGAGAAGGCAGCATGTCATATTAATACCAGTCACTGCATGACAACATCAAACACACACTGTTCTGCTTGAACACGACAGATAAACCAGATAAAACCAGTTCAAGTCTTTCCTGGTACCTGTTGACTCTGCGGGGACATTTGTCCGGTTTGATGTCCACTTCATACAGGTAGACGTCGATTTTGGGGATTTCCACCTGGAAGCAGTTGGCCAGCAGCTTGATGGGCTTCCCAATAGTGCCATAGCCCGGTCGCCGTGGCAACGAAAACAGGGCTTGGGCTCCAACGGCTCCTACAACAAGTAAAACAATTAATTACGGCAAACACTGGCTGTCTCAATAAACTATAAAAATATTGTATTGGTAACTTGAGTATACCAACAAGTTAAAGTTTTAATGTAAATACTTAAAGCTGAAATAATCAATATATTTTTTATCAACAGTAGATCAGTGATTATGTTTTGCTTTTCTGTTTAGGTTTTGCCTCAGCGCTCTCATCGCTGTCACCACAGCTTCATTTCCACTGTACATCTATTCTTGATTCATGATTCAGTATCCATTACAGATAGAACAAAGACCAAACCAGTGATCATGAATGTGCCAAACAAGCCAAGAGCTTTGAAGAGAAGACAACCGTAAGCAGGAAGTGGTTAACAGAGGAAAGAGCAGATGGTGGCTGCTGGGACTGAAGGTGGTCAGAGACGTTAAAGATTGATAAACTGATGAAACTGAAACAAACGGGCAAACGCTGGTTTTCTTTTCGCCCCGAAGTCGATCTGATAATGACCGTTTAAAAGGTTGTGGAGTTGGGTGACATTTTAAATAAAGACCAGCTCGGCGGTCGCAGATTTCTCCTGACTGACGTGGCCTTTGCCAAGACGGGAAGAGAAGTAGGCGAGCGACATGCCACGACAACACGACACCAATTTACCGAAATGCCAAATTGGAAACTACGCAGAGAAAAAAAAACATCTGACATCACCAAACCACACAATTTCCACAAATGTGACTCAGACGATCCGTGTGAGCGCGCGCACACACACACACACACACACACACACACACACACGAAAGTGTTTCAGCAGCAGAGAGCTGGTGTCAGGGTCGAGGGCTGACCCTGGACCTGCCGTACGGAGACATCATCCACTGCACTTTCTGCTGCTGTGTCCCCAGGCAGCTTCCTCCCCTGTGCTGTTCCCATGGCAATGGCGCACATGTTGCTACGGTTTCTCCATGGCAACTAAAGCCATACTGACAAGAGGAGGAAAAACAGGAGCACACAGATCTGTCTCATTTATCTCTGAGCTGCAGCGTAACAATCTTTCTTTTTTTATAAATTTGAACTTTTATATTTAAAACTAAAAAAGAAGGTGAAGATAAAAATGGAGCAACATTATTTTTTTGAGGAATTATTATGGGAAACATCCTCCACTGGGCACAGAGCAGACAGCAGCTTCTGCACCAGCATTGACCCAAAAACACAAAAGGTTCAGTGTAGAGGAGACACAATGGAGAGATTAATGACCACTTATCAGGCTGTTCATCACACACATGCACCACACCACCAGCAGGAGCCCACACAGAGCTGACATTCAGCCCACACACTGTAAAAGAGCACTTCACTGAGGCGCTGCTGCACAGTCCCAACATCACTTCACTAATGTGTTGAGCTGATACTGAACCATTAAAACAAACGTTGGTTTAACCCTGCAGACTTCTGGTCAGGTGAAGGATTGCTCACTCTTAAAAACCTGCAAATTTTAAATCTAATTCTTCTTCACGCTTTACAAAAATACCGAATATGTCCCGTTGTTTCACATGGCAGAGTTTTAAAATAGTGCACAACATGTCCAGATTATTACTGCTGGAATGAGTCGTTTAATTGATCAGGTGACTGATAAATCATCTGCAACTACTGTGAGAATCAAATAATCATTAAGTCATTTTTTCCTATTGTCTATTCGATTCACCTTTATTCATTGTACTATTTGATTTTTTTTACTGTAAAACACTTTGAGCTCCATCTCTTGTATGAAAAATGCTCGATACATAAAGTTTATTGTTATTATTATTATTATCATCATTCAAGCAAAAATCATTTATTTAAATGCCCAAACGTCCTCAGCTTCCAGCCTGCAAGTGAACGCTGCATCATGTTCAAACACACTTGTTTAATCTGAAGGGGAAGTTTGGCCTGTTGCAACAGAGTAAGAAGTTTTCCCACTGGGTCTGAAGTGAGACAAAAATAATCATTTCACTGAGCGCCGTCTTTCCCTCCAACTCTCCTTTAGGAACATTCAACCTTTCACACACTGAGCTGACGATCACAGCCTCATTTAGTTTCACATAAATTGTGGCTGGACTAAAACCCGATCAATGAGCGTCACACTGCCTCAGGTGCCTGTCAGAAATGTCCTCATCAGGAGCTGATCAGTCAATCAATCAGTGAGGAAATTAGAATGACGAGAGAAGTGAAGTCCAGATTTTCGATTAGAGCAGAAACAATTAATCAATTATTAACAATTCTGAAAATCAATTTATCTTTTCAGTTATTTACTTAAATCTACTTCCTGAAATGTGGATTTGCTGCTTTTCTCTTATTTATATCAAAGTACATCATGAATCTTTGGTCAGACAAAATACACTGATTATAACAGGCGTTAATCACAGTTTTGGACATTTAATAAACTAAGCAATCAATCAATCAATATATGAAAACATCAGTTATTTAAGTGTTTGTTCTGTAATGCCAGAAAATCTTGAAAAATGCTCATCACAGCTTCCTGAAGCTCAAGTTAATCTTCACGTCTTATTCTGACTGACTGTTCAAAATTCAAATATATTCAATTAATAATAATGTCACATAGTGAAAAGCTTCACAGCTGAGGAGCTGAAACCAAGAACTGTTCGGCTTCTCTGCTTGATAAATAACTAATAATGGTAAAATAACTAAACAGTGAATCAATTATAAAAATATCTGCCATATTTGTCAGTAAATCAATTAATCAGATTATTGTTTCAGCTCTAAATGAAAACAAGTGACAAAGATTTAACAGTTAGAGTTAAAGAGAGTTAAACAGCTGATGATAAATGTGATGTTATATTATTGTTTTGACTCAAACACACATTGGCCCTTTAATCAAATGTTTTACAGATTCTACATTAAATGACGTCTCTAATGAAGCTTCTCTCTGTTTGTGCTCATACAGTGAAAGGTGGAGAATGAATGGGTGAGTTTCACTGAACCAGTTTGGTCTTGTTGTCCTCCCAGTCCTCCACCGGCCCCAAAGATATCAATAATACACAAGCTGGGACTCAAACTGTGACTTCTCCTGCCCTGATCCATTGATTTGTAATTAACACAGGCAGCAGTTAACTGAACTTTATTCAATAGTTAGGGTTACTATGGCAGCAGCTGGTGTGAAAGGCTGCCCTTCAAACTGATATGTACACACACACACACACACACCCCTCCCTGAAAGTGAGCCAGCCACTCTCAGGCTTCAGGCACACCTGACGGGATCACCACCTGCTTCTGACAGCCCAAAAGAGTGACGTAAGAATACAAGAAACCCGTGGGACTGGTTTGGGACACACACACACACACACACACACACACACACACACACACACACACACACACACACACACACACACACTGAGACACTACAGTGACCGCCAAAACCCCGCTGAGAAACGGACACCCAAGTCTGTCTGCTGCGGCTGGACACCAGTGTCCATGACAGCCGGGCAACTTATTAACCACTGTGCTGAGGACGTACAGTCAGCAATTTATTAGGAACACCCAGCTTTAACTAATGCAGTCTAATACAACAGTGCTGAAGTTTATAATGCGCCGTTTTCATTGAAATAGTTTTATCGGAGTTGATTTAACTGTGAGGTTTGTGTTGCTGTTTTACACACAGAGGTGTTTCTGTTTCTGTCCTCATTTAAATGACGCGGACAAAATAACAACTGTACTGTATGAACTGCTGTATGAGACTGCATTAGTTTTAGCTGGGTGTTCCTAATAAACTCATAGTTTACTGACTTGCTGCTCCCAAATGCGGGTCAAACGTGTGTGTAGCTCTGCAGACAGTCTGAAAATAACCCAAGTGAAGCACCTGAACGCCACATTAGCGCAGTTAAGCATGGCCGTTAGTCCGGGGTTCCCACCTGTTGTTCCGATTTCCATTCATGAGGTCTCTGTCCGGATGACCCGGCACCCAGTGATCACTTCTGCCTCTGCGTGGATTCAAACTTTCACTACAGTTCCGCTGACACCCCGCTCCCCGGCTCCCGGCTCCCCGCTCCCCGCTCCCCGGCTTCGGCACCTGGTGTAGACCCGGGCCGCTTTGGGGTCCCCTCGGCTGAAAGACCTCTCTCTCTCTCCGGACCCGCGTTACCACGACTGACAGCTCAAAGTTCAACAAATCGTCTCCGCTTTCGTTCTTTAAAACTCTTTTTCGTGGACCTGAAACAAGAAGATTATTTTCAGTGTTGAAAATGTTTCGTGACAGTTTAGTCACGGAGTTTGTTAAATTTCGCCGATAGCCGCGGCGGGTAAGCTAACAGCGTTCGTTAGCTTTAGCCGACCACAACTAGCAACTAACAGCCAACTCGAAACCCAAAACCGACATAAATATTTACCGGGTCAGCGGCTGTATTCGTCTTCCCGGTGGGTTAACGTGACAATCCGGTGTTCTTCTTTAACGAACTGATATGGGAGCTTCACTACCCCGGCGTCCTCCTCGGTATCGGCGAGAAACCGGTCTGAAATCTGCACTTTACACCGCCCTCTCCTTCACTGACGTCAAGCTAACAAGAATACAACAGTAAGACTTCCGGAATGCTCCTTCAAAACAAAAGCATAACTGACAAATTACGGCAGATGCTGCTAAGCAGATATTTTAAAACCTGTCTTAGAGCTACGATGCCAAGTGAATTTCCTGTTCATTTCCTTTTGCTTTTTGTTGTCATGTGCACTCCAATAATCACTTAGGCAAAGTAGCTATTTACAGTGTTTTCCCAATATCCTTATTATAACTTTCTCATCACGTCCCATACAGATTGTACAGACTGAATCATGCAGTAACAATACAATGATTTGAGATTTTTGGATTTTGATTTTGAGATCAAAAATACTTATATATATATAATTTAAAAATTACCTGCAAATGTTCACATTTCCCTTTCAGGTAAGACATTTCCATCTTTTTTGATAATAATTTTTGGTTTGCAGAGTTGAGTAGTATAATTATGAAATTATAATAGTATAATTTTGAACTTTGAGTATTTCCATTTGATCATACTTTATACTTCTGATCCACTATATCTCAGAGGGATATATTGTACCACACAACTTTGACTTGAAATTCAGTATTTTCACAGCCGGGTGTTGCTGCTTTTAGTAAATGACCTGAACGCTTCTTGGCTTTTATTTGGACAGGGACTGCTGTGTGATTTCCGGTATAATCCTGACTATCTCTGTGTAACTTCACAGATTGTCTGTCCCTCCTCCTCCTCTACAACCGAGGGAAATCCGTCAGGAAATACCAACTACAGAAAACAACGTCACTTCCTAAAAACTTTTTTTTTTAAATTCCATGCGTCATGTTTTGAAATGATATCTTGTATTTCAGGTGTTGTAACCTGTCCATCAAGCCGTCAGAAGAACACGTATCACAGTATGACAGAAGTGAATACTTGTAAAAACTGATGCGGATGATTTCCATCCTGTCATGAAGATTCACACTCCACACTGTAGATGTCTCCAGAATCCATAGACATAATGTCACAGCAGCTCCAAATATAAACCATAGAAGAAAACAACCAGGAAGTGTTACACTTCAACATGAGGAGGTGCCACAGTTTTCTGAGGAGAAGTTAATGGAGCTTCCAGCATCAAACAGGTGTGATTTCATATTCAATAATTCACCTTAAATTTAATTCATCAGTGCTTTAGGGTGAATTGTTCTGTTGGAAAAGCCTCAGCTCAGTCTGTGTGTTCAGCTGCTGAACAGAACCACAGTCCAAACAGAGGTAGATTGGCCCTGGATTTTCTTATATGCTGCTTTTTTGTAAATTTTTGTAAATATTGACTTGTACATATGATGTTATTATTACTATTATTTATCTGTCTTAGTATTTGTTACTGACATCTTGCAGTTATTTTCTTTCTTGTACAGTCACTTTGCTGCTGTGACACTAATAAAGGAATATCTTATCTTATCTCATGTTAACTCAGGATGGAGAAGGTGATCAACTGTTTCCAGAAAAGGCCGGACGCTGTGGCCCGGCTCATCTGCTTCCCCTGGGCAGGCGGAGGGTCCATACACTACGCTCGCTGGGGAAACATCCTCAACAGCTCCATTGAAGGTAACACACCTGGAGGGTATTGTTCAAGAGCTGCACTTTGCTGTTTACTCAGTATTCACCATTTCTCAGGTGTGTGGAAAAATACCCATCACTCTGGGAAGGTGAGAGTTTAACGTCAGAATCGTTACGTCTTTGTGAAGCCATGTTGCTGGAAATGTTTTTCACATGCTTCCTGTCACTGTCAGTGTTCGCTGTCAAACTTCCCGGCAGAGAGAGTCGAGCCAAAGAGCCGTTCTTTCTCAACATGCAGCAGATTGTGGACGAGGTTGTTGGAGTGTTGTTACCGGTGCTGAAAGAGAAGCCGTTTGCTCTCTTCGGCCACAGGTATGATCAGAATAAAGCTTTATGAATAACATCGTATCTGTCACTGTTTCCATGCTCTTCCCCTGTTTTATTTTTATATTAAGACATGTTTGCACTTTCCTCCTCTGTCTCAGTTTTGGTGCCTTCACAAGTTTTGCTGTAGCAGACGCTCTGAAGAAAATCCACAACCTGGAGCCGGTTCACATCTTCCTCTCTGGAGCCTCTGCACCTCATGTAAGTTTATTTCTCTAATTTATAGTTTAGACTCTTTAAATGAACATGAGGGTTTGGTGTTTATAATCCTGTGTTGTGTTTCAGTCAGAGACTCGTATCAAAGCCCCGAAGAGGAGCGAGTTGTCGGATGAGGATTTTCTCAAGTGGCTGATGTCTATTGGAGGAACTCCTCCTGAACTTCTGTCCAACCCTGAAGTCCTGAAGCTCTTCCTTCCCGCCCTGAAGGCCGACCTGCACGTGGTGGAGAACTACAGGTCAGCTGACATCTCTGTTAGTTTCTTCGTTCATGTTAATCATTCATTTTAATCAAGGTGAGATTCAGTGGGAGGAGTTTGTGTCTTAACTGCAGGTGTGAGAAGCCGGACGTTCCACTCCTGTCCTGCCCGGTCACATGTTTCGATGGAAAAGAAGACGTCCCTCATGATTTACAAGGTCAGATATCTGATGATTCATTACACACTCACTCCACCTGATGATGGACGGTGCTGATGTAGCTCTCAGGATCCTCAGTGTCAGTAACTGTGGAACTTTAGGTCTCAACAAATTAATTTTAGTTAAAAACATCAGCGCTTGTGAAGCTGGACTGTAGAGGAGCTGGAATATTATTGATTTAGTGACAAATTCAAACGGTTCACTTCAGAAACTGCCTCAGAGCAAAGACACAAAGTTAAAACTGTTCCAGACAGATCAGACAACAGGCCGAGCTGTGTCGGCTGAACATGTGTCATTCATGATTCCTGAATGTAATTAATGATATTCATTTATTTTGATCAACAGCTTGGAAAGACATCACGTCAGGAGATTTCACCACCAGGATGCTGGATGGATCTCACTTTTACCTGAAGGATTCTGGGAATGAGAAAGTTTTATTAGACTACATCACAAAACATCTGGAAACATCAGAAATGGACTATTTATAATGAAATATGGACAATTACTGCACCGAGTCTAATGACCTCACGTTGTTTTACTAATTCATTGTGATGGAATTTAACTGTTTGATTAATTAATTAGTTTTTCTTTAAAAAAAAAAAAAATGTAATTCTTTTTGTTTTGTCAAACCAACTTGTGACTGAGAAACGAGCCCACAGCTGTCTGTGCAACAGGTTGTTATGACATCATATTTAGGTTTTGTTGCTAGGCGACATCTAGTGGTCGTAGTAATGATGACAGGACCAAAGGGAAAAGTGTCAGTGACGTAGTATAAAGAGACACAGAGTGCACGTCAGGAGGAGGAGGTGAACGGAGAGCGGTGTTCGATTCCCGTGTTGTTTCTATTGTCCATGACCGTTCGTTGTTGGTACTGTAACCATGACAACAGAGATCGTCTAACGTTGAGGAAGTACTTATTTTAACCCAAATCAAGATCTTTTCAAAAACGTAACCAGGCCATGACCGTTACTTTAGTAACCATGGCAACGATCGGTACGCCAATCTCGGCACATTCGCGTGTTTATTATAGTAACCATGACGACCAAGGTCCGGTACCAGGGGCGCTATTTCAGGAGACGCTTTGATGAGTCGTATCAGAGGGTTGAATAAAATGGGTGGAATATTACAAGCAGATTAAATGTTTGATTTACAGTGATAATCCCAGTTTCTTGTAAACGGAAACTCTTTAGAGTTTACAGTCAAAAAGTCTTTTATCCAACATGATACTGAATTTAATGTTCACAGGCGCAAACGCTGGAAAACATGAGTAGTAATATTTTTCAGGCTTATTTAAAAAAAACAAAACAATGTTTAGTGTTTATAAAGATTAAAATGGATGACGTCATCCTGACCTGTATTCAAGCCACTACTTATTAAAAGATTAAGAAATGATTCTTTGCATTTTTATTAGTTCAACAGCTGTTAATATGCCATAAAATCGACTGCACAGACATATTTCCTTCATTTTTATTTCTAAATCCACATTTTAAAACACATACAGTTGAAAACTAAACCCGGTCAAAGAGTTCGTTGTTGGAGGTAAATGAAATGTTAGAAACAGCTGCATGTGCACAGATCTGAGATGGTGGAAATGTCCATACATTACAAACTTCATTTGTGAATAAATATAATCTCTTTATCATACAAGTCACATTTTTACAATGTTTTTAATCTTCAAGTTCAACATTCAACGTCACGTTTCTGACACACATGAGAAAACACACAAAGATTCAGATCATAGCTTCGGAATTGATTTCATGTCACTCTAAATTAAATCTTTTATCATCTTTATAAGCAAACACAATCGATAAATATCTGCAGAGGTTTTTGCATCACATCAGGATGAAGGTCCCCAGGACTGACTGACAGTGTTTAGATGCTTGACTATGAAACATGACAATGTTCAACAGGAGCTGGTGAATAACTGCCACTGTGAATACATGGTCTCACCTTCACCTGCAGCTCTCAGTGGGGGGTGACGTCAGAGCGACAGGAGCTGGATCTGAAGAGCAGAGGTCAGAGGTCACAGGACTGTGAATGTTTCATCTGAAAACCTGAGACTGAGATTAAACTGAGAAGAAAACTTTCCCTCGTCAGTATTTTGAGTCTGTGGCGGCTCGTCACAGGGAGATGAAGTGGGGGGGTCAGGATGCTGCTACATGCAGTCACCGTCTCTTTTAGAAGCAGGTGGGGGTGGAGGAGGCGGCAGCTCCTCGCCGTCCCTCTGCTGCGTGGCGGGAGCGTCGGCCAGCATGAAGGAGTCTGTGGAGCGGGTGCTGGTGCGGAGGGGGGCCAGGCGCCGCAGGTTGCTGGGCGTCCATGGCAACCTCACCTGAGCTCGCTGCGAGGGAGCGACCGTGCTGCTGTCGAGCTCCGCCTCCGCCAGCCACGGAGGGATCTGCATCGGGTCCATGTCGGCCATGAAGGCGGGGTTCTCTATTCCAGCTGGATGAAACAGAGAGAGCGACTCAGTGCTGAAGGTCAGAGGTTAAAGACATGAGAGCGAGGTGATGGATTTATTTACCTCCTGCTCTGTAGGTGACTCTCATGGGGAACGAACCCGGTGCGTCGTAGCCAGAGGCGCTGTCGCCCTCCGAGAACCCGAAATCTGGACAAGAAAAAATGATTGTTAAAACGCTTCTCATGAAGTTTTATGAAGTTGATTAATGGTTAAACACAGACACAAACCTTCATCACCAGAGTGGTAGCTTTTACTCTTGTCCAGTGATTTTCCATTTGGCATCTGCAGAAAGAAGAGAAGTTTTAAATTTATAAATTACATCTTAAGGCTGAGAAACAAAAGGGATTTAAGGATTTAATCATTTGAACTGATGCTTCTGTAATAACTTACTTTGATAAATATTTTCTGTATTTTTTATTGAACGAAAGAAACCAGGATTATAAAATCTTAAAAGTTGTCAAAAAACAAAAACCATGTTAAAATGGACAGTTATTTAAATACTACAGGTACTTATATACTTTAGTGCTATCTAACAATTACAAATCCATTCATTCAATGCCAGATTTCACTTTCAGAATCTGCAGCCAATAAAACACTGAAGTTGAACACTGAGCTCTATCTGTGTGCTGTAGATGATCGGAGGCTCTGACCTTTTGCTGCGGCTCTTTCTTTGTGTGTTTGGAGATGGTCTTTGGCGGAGCGACGCCCATCTTGGCAGACTTAAAGGACTCCAGACGGCTCCTCATGGTCCTCTGGAAGATCTCCTGCACCTCGTTTTCATCTTTGTTGACATCAAAGTGGCTCCGGCTGTATCTGTGCCGGTGCTGCAGATCAGAGAAGAAGGGACGAGGATGTGAGGACAAAGAGGACAAGAAGACTCGTTACTCACACAGAAACTTTGTTAGTCACGAGTTCAGAGAGTGGAATGACTCTGTGATGTGTCTGAACAGGTTCACCTGTTTCCTGCCCTTGTACAGATGCTGCTGCAGCAGGTGGTGAGTGTTGATGTCCTCAGCTCCTCTCAGGCCGTTCATGGTCTGCTCGTGCATTTCCAGACTCACTGATGGAACAGGGTCTCTCCTACAGGCAAACAAATCATCAACACGTTGTTCAGGTTCCTCCTATGAAATAAGCTTTGACTGTTTCTGGTCACCAGGTGGCAGCGTCTGAGCAGCTGATCTAAGGTCAGTAGACCTGTAGTAGATCAGCTCTAGTTTTCAGGCAATGTGCTTTTGGTAGTTTTAGAATTAAATATATTTATCCTTAAATTCAGAGCTGAAATTTAGGTCATGAACGAGTTTGTTCACCATCAGCTGGACAACCTGCCAGTCCGCCATCAGCTCACCTGTGATTGTAGAAGTGTTTGCTCACCTCATAACAGACATTCCTCCGTGGTCGTCTGACATGTCGGCCATGATGTCAGGCATGACCTCTGAGAATTCATCACCAAACTTTTTCTTGAAGTCGACGTACGCCGTGTCGTTTCGGACAAACTCCAGAGATCCTCTGCGTTCACCCTGAGCCAACAAGACCAGAGTTTACTTCCTGTTCCAGCTGTTACTGACCAGCAGATCATCTAATATCTCTGTCTCCTTTAATGTCAACTGACGTTTGCAGCATATGATCCTCACCTCAGCCACGTAGCTCATGGCGTCCTTCAGGTTCAGCTGATGGAAGACGTTGAAGACGTAGTCTCGGTTCTTCCTCGCCGACGGTTTCATCAAAACCCTCGACATCCAATTCTCCTCAAAGTTATTCCACCTTCACAGACAGAGGAGAGAGATGACTGTAGCTTCATTCAGACACATCCAGTTCAATCATTTAAAGTGTCTCTACATACTTGTCCCTCATGTAGTTGTGTCCTATCTGTCCAGATATGTCTTCTATGGCAACAAGCATGTGATCAAACACCTGAACAACAGGAAGAGACAGACTCTGTGACACCTGGACACAAACTGTAACAGCTGAAATGTTAAAAATAAAATAAGAAAAAATAAGAAGATGAGATAAAATAAGATGAAATGAGATAAAATGAGATAAAATGAGACAAAATAAGATGAAATGAGATAAGACGAGATAATTTGCAGTATTACAGCAGCAAAGTGACAGTACAAAGAAAGAAAAACTGCAAAATGACAATATAAAATACTTAATACTATAAATACTATAAAAGATTAATAATGTAAAATATAATATGTACAATTAGATATTTAAATTTAAAAAAGTAAATTTAATGTTGAGTTTTACCTTGTTCTGCACTTTTTCTACGAGTGTGAGTTCAGACATCGCAGCTCTCTTTACTTTGAGCCACGTGACCAGAGGTTTCATGGTTATTCCCTGAAACAGGAAGCTTCGTTAATGAAGCTGTGTTGTTTAATTAAAACAAATGTACCAATGAACTATGTGGCTCAATCACACCAGCAGTTACCTGAAAAATGACGGTGAAGTACACGACGATGAGAGTGGTGCTGACCATCAGATTCTTCTCTTTTATCTTGTTCTCGTCCAACATCACAGCCAGGCCGTACGCAACGGCCCCTCGCAGGCCACCGTAGCTCAGAATCACCTGGTCTATGAAGCCAATGGGGACCAGCCTGAACTTGTTCAGGATCCAGGTGATGAAAAAGACACCTGTAGTGAAAAAACACACAATCACAATCACAGTCTGTCTCGTGACCTCTGACCTCCGAGTATGAACACAAAGTCTCACCGATGCATCTGTACACGATGACGAAGAGGAGCGTGAGCAGGATGAAGCCGGTGTTCCACACCCAGATCGACTTGTCGATGGCCGAGATGCCGAGGAAGACGAAGATGATGGTTTCTGAGCCATTGGCGAGAACCTTCATGGCGTATCTGACTGTGTTGACCGAACTCTCGTCCATGTTTGCGTTGATGTATTTCTGACAGCAAATTCCACAGAAGACGATCCTGCAGAAGAAAAACACCAAATCACTGAAACTGAATATATTTAAATGTCTCCTTGTTTAAATCCTTCGACATATGATGCAGATATAATAAAACCAAGTAGGTCTTCTGTCATGGAGCTCTTACGAGAGGATGGCGGACAGGGAGAGCATCTCAGCCGTCAGGTAGGACAGATATCCCAGGACAAAGATGAAGCCCGGCTCAATGATCTGGATGTTTTTAGTGCATCTGGTCAGAAGAGAGATCAACAGACCAAATACAAAACCCAGGAGGGAACCGCCGAACGCCACCACGAAGAAGGAAACTGGAGAGAGAGAGAGACGACGCATGTATGAGAAGTTATTCTCATGTTATCCACTATAACTTAGATTACATGTTATTTAATGGACACTTTTATCCAAAGTAACAGAGTGTAAAGATCAGACTGACTGACTGTTACACCAACTCTATCAGTGGGTTAATAAACCAGGTCTCACCGATTCCTTTAATGATCTCCACGGCGTCGATCTTGGATCCTCCCAGCGACACGAACGCATCAAACACATTGAAGAGAACCTGAGAGAAGAGGAAGAAGAGTGTGTTCATGTTCTGTCCGTCAGAGAAAGAATAACATCAAGTTATGACATAGATACTTTAATCCTATTAATGAGTTATATCCATTCATTCAAATGCTTTCTTCCTATTTCTGTATTTCTGCTCTTTATTGTTTTTATTTCCTCTTTGGTTTCTTCAAACTCTCTTGCAGATATAAGACTATAATAATAATAATAATAATATTTATATACAGTCAATACAATCAACAAATCAATACAAGTAACAAAGTGCTTCACGAGTCAAATATAAAACATAAAAAAGTCAAATGTAAATGAAATTAAATAATAATATAAACAAACTTAATAATATGAACAATAAAAGCTTTTTCTGAGGATCTCAGACTGTAGTAGTGAACCAGTAGTGAATTAGATGCATTTCAAAACTTAAATAAAACCACCCTGTTTCTTGTTTGACCTCCATGTGTTTTGAAATTTGCAAACACAAGTATTAAACAAGTATTTGAATAAGTGGGCGAATAATCCTCATGCAGCTTGTTATTGATCTACTTCACAGCTGATAAATGAGTGGAAGTTCACAGTAACGCCTCGGTGCTCCCTCCACTCCTCACTGACTCTACACATAAATAAGAAATATAATACTCATTTACTCAAGAGCCGATTGATTGATTGATTGATTGATTGAGGGATGAAGTTCAGATGAGGTGACGAGACCTGAGTAAGGCTCAAGGTCGTCACTTTGAAGTGTGAGTGTTTACATTCTTCACACTTCATGTCTCAGAGTGACGGACGTCTCAGCAAACTCAACCTGCTGAGGGAAAGTGAGGCGCAGCAGCAGCAGCAGCAGCAGCAGCAGCAGTGCATCGTGGGATACGAACCACTGTCACGCCGTCATTGAGCAGTGACTCTCCGAACACCATGATGAAGAGGACCTCGTTGACGTGGACCTGCTCGAACACAGCGATGACGGCTACAGGGTCGACAGCAGCAATCAGGCTGCCGAAGAGAAGGTACTGCAGCAGACCGATGTCCAGGTCCCCTACACACCAGGACCAGGAGGGACCAGGAGGGACCAGGAGGGACCAGGAGAGACCAGGAGAGACCAGGAGAGACCAGGAGGGACCAGGAGGGACCAGGAGGGACCAGGAGGGACCAGGAGGGACCAGGAGGGACCAGGAGGGACCAGGAGGGACCAGGAGGGACCAGGAGGGACCAGGAGGGACCAGGAGGGACCAGGAGGGACCAGGAGGGACCAGGAGGGACCAGGAGAGACCAGGAGGGACCAGGAGGGACCAGGAGGGACCAGGAGGGACCAGGAGAGACCAGGAGAGACCAGGAGGGACCAGGAGGGACCAGGAGGGACCAGGAGGGACCAGGAGGGACCAGGAGAGACAAGGAGAGACACAGTCAGTTTATTTACTGAGCAGGACGTTCCCTCCGTCTTTATATCTCAACAAACACTGACTTTCTCTTCAGCACTGAAACTCCATCAGACTCTCTCCTGCAGTGACACTGTGGCAGCGTTTTCTGGGTTTTGCTGCAGATTTTTTGCCTAAATTTGTTAAATATTTTAATTTGACACCATGAAAATTATGCTGAATGATCTATTAGTAGTTTGTGCTTGCAGTGTATCCTCTGATGTACAGACAGGTGTCGCTGGATCAGTTTGATTCTGTGGAAAACTTAAAAATGTCACGATTGTCAAGGAAGTTCTGGGTCTTTTTTTTAATGATTTTTAAGCAGATTTTTGAATAATTATTCATGATGGACACTGGAGATATCGACATCCTTAGAAAGTGTAATTCACACTGTATCTAAACATATATGTAAATATATATGTGTATCATGTTTGTATCTTCAGAAGTGACTACGTGTGTCTCTCTTACCCATGGCTCCCCCCTTGTGACACCCCCACAGCGACAGCCCCAGGCTGGCGGCGTTCCAGCAGGTCCCGATGATGGCGTACACCAGGATGCCCCCCAGGTTGCTGAAGAAGAGCTTGTTGGGCATGGAGTATCCCGCGTCGAGGATGACCTGAGGCAGCAGGTAGAAGAAGAAGACCGTCGGCGTCAGTTTGAACGTCTGCACCTTGTCCGCCCCCCAAATGATCCCCCCCAGGATGAAGCCAAAGCAGATGAGCAGGGCGCTCTCTGGGATCACGTTGGTCACATGGTGGTTGGCCTCGATGACTGAGAGGAGACAGGAGAAGAGAAGACAAAGAAGTTTTATTGACAATAAGAAAACATCTTCAGATTTGTCGTCAGTCGACCTTTATTCATTTTAAACTGTAACTGAACCATGAGTCTAAAACTCTTGTGACGTTGCAGGTTGCAAAATTTGCAAATGATCAACTGCTGCTCTCGGTTGAGAAAGTGTCACTTTTGGTTCTGAGGATATGATTAACTGACCTGGGATGTGTGGAGGTTCAGAAACCTCTCTGCAGAACTAAACACTGACTTCTGCTTCAGGCCACTCGACCTAATGATCCGACAAAGTGTCACTGACGCTGATTTAATAATGAAACCCACCAACCATGAGAACAGAGAGTCGTTAACGAATGAGTCCAGGAACCTTTGCTCTGCCACAGTATTTCTCATGTGTGTGGAAACCAGATCAATAATTTTGCTCATATATGATTTTCTCAGGATCTGAAACCTGGACAGCAAGTGAAAGGTCAGAGTTTACAGTAATATATAATTCTTTCTCCAGCGAGTTTTAAGATGAAATATTAATCAGAGGAGTGATTTTACAAAGTGTAAAAGTGTGTGTGGAGTTTGTACTGAAGCACAAACATGGACAGAAACAGAAGACAGTCTTCTGTTCTCTGGAACAACGTGAGTGTAGATAACAGACTCCGGTTCACCGCAGCCACCGACCGTCTGTTACAATATTAAAAAGAAAATCACTCAACTATTTAAAAATGTCTCCTTTTCCTGAACTGTAGTTTCTCATGGTTAAACATGTTTTATCAACCAGCTTCTTACTATGATGATGATAGAAACATAAACTTTAGGATTTTATTATGGTCTTATCATCTGTTTCTATACGGCACCTGCTCCCTCCTTTATACTGAGTTACACTGTGTGTCCTCCCTCTGGAACGCCTCCTCATCTCTGTCGGAAACTGTTTTTAAAGGTTCTGTGTAAATAAAGTTATTATTATTATTATTTTATCATTTTGGTTATTTCTGTGGATCAATGAGTTTAATATATATATTATATAATATATATATTATTTGACTCAAAGTCTTGAATCTGATCCACAGTCTTCCTGAGGCGGATCAGCTGAGGGTCAAACTTTAAGTCATAGTGCGTGTTTTTATGTTTTTCAAACTTTAATTGTTGCTTTAAACTTAAATTTAGTCTTGACTATTTAATATTTAAAAAAACACTTAATATTTTAAACTAGATTTTCAAAGTCACTAAAAAGATTAATTTAAAAGCACAAAACTATTTTAAACTTCTTTAAGGGTTTAGTCTAAATGATCTATTATCTAGTAATAGAGTTTAGATAATGTATGATTCTTCCTTTCTCTCACAAAACCCTGTGCGTGCGTGCGTGCGTGCGACAACAGGACTACATTGTAATTATTTCACATTGTTGTGTGTTAAAAATAGCTCAGCATTATCTTTGACAGAGGAATCTGCAGCAGGCCGAGGCTTCACTGTGTGAACCTGCATCATTAAACCTCTTTTCTAACGCTGCAGCTCCCGTCATGTTACATACCTAACTTAGCCAAACCAGCCACCAGTATCCACAGAGCCACCAGGTAAGGAGCGTCCACATGGTGCCACTTAAAGGTCACTATGGGAACCTCAGTGATGCCGGAGCCGTGACCGTGGTCAGTCCGGTTCGAGTCGGATCTGAACTCTGGTGGATTCAGGTGGGGGTCTCTGAGCGTGAGAGCCGCTTTGTCCCTGACCCTCCTGACCCCTGAGATGGGCCCCCCCATCAGCAGCACTGAGCCCAGCAGCAAGAGCAGCACATATCCACAGAGTTTCATCTCGTCAAATGAGCAGAAGAAGAGCCGCTCTTCTTCTTCTTCTTCGCTCGTTCAACCTCAGACCAGACTGAGCCGCACACGTCTGATCGATGCTTCCTTTTTGTGGGTGTGTGCTTCCTCTGTCTTACTCCTTCTCATCTACTATCACTATCTGTTCACTACTCTTCCTCCTGTTCCTCCTCTGCTGCTGCTTCTGTCTCTGTCAGGCTGAGACTCTGTGTCCTCCCACAGTCTGTGGTCAGAGGTGTGCAGAACGCTGGACTCAGCCTTTTATATGTACAGTATCTCCTCTGTGGCCAAGGTTGTGTGTGTGTGTGTGTGTGTGTGTGTGTGTGTGTGTGTGTGTGTGTGTGAGGGGGAGTAACGGATGTCCAAGAAGTCTCAGTTATTCAGTCACGTTTGAAACATTCACCACTCACTGTGTTTGTCTTTTAACACATCTACTGAAGTTTGTCATGACACATTTTCAGAGAGTGTGTGTGTGTGTGTGTGTGTGTGTGTGTGTGTGTGTGTGTGTGTGTGTGTGTGTGTATGTGTGTGTGTGTGTATGTGTGTGTGTGTGTGGAATATTTCCACTGGCTGTCTCTCAGCTTTGTGCTCAGTAATGATTGACGCTGACGTTACTCAGTCCCAGTTGAGTCGGACAACAAGCTCATACTTTTGTTCTGTCATGAAAGTTTTGACATTTTTTGTCCCAAAATGAAATATGTCATCTGAAAGTGATTTTATTTTTTCTTCATCAACAAAACCAACAATAAACTGATGAATATTTTGTTTAATATGTGACATAATAATGCTAATGACGGTTAAATGAAAACTCAATAAAGACATTATTTGTTAACATTTGACATTGTTCTCACTAAAACACCAAATGTGTATTAATCCGCAGCAGGAAATAGTTCCATAAAATGCAGGAATTCCTTTTGTCTTGAGTCACATTCAATTAAAAAAACTAGCCAGCTGTTTTAGGAAAATAATGAGCCTTTTTTAAAATGATAAAAACATGAAAGTATGTATTCATGACCTGCGTCAGTAGGAACACATGGACCGAGCGTCACACGTGTGTTTAGAGATGAACTAACATGGGATCTGTGGACAAGAGGTGAAATATAGAATAACAGCAGCTTTATCCTTTAAATAACCACTACAGGAGTTTAAAGGAAGCTACGTCCGGTCTGTGCTGACGACACGAACACGTCAGTGTGGGTGTTCACTTCTATAAGATGTATTTACTCCTGTTAGCGTTGGTTCACTGAAGATGTGTGACTGCTTTTCTTTGGCCAACAGTCTCGTCCTGTCTGAGCGAGACAAGGGACAAAGGCCTCATTGGTGAGACGGACTGGTTTGATATGAACTCCCTCACACAGGTGTGAGTGTGCGTCTCACTAACAGCAACATAAACGGCTCATAAATGAAGGTATTATCAGGTAAATGAAGTCACTTCTTCCACCGAGGAGTTTTAAAAGCTGTAAATCAAAGTTAGAAGAACATTTAGCGGCACAGTGGTCAGGCATGAACTCCCCCGCTCGGACTTATTAACTAATGACCTAATGCATCTGCTCTACAGTGGCTGCTCTTTAACTGCAGCTCTGTGAACGCCACAGAGAGACAGAGGTCAACGTCACGGTGCAACAGACAGGTCAGACAGAGGTCACGCTCGCACTGGGAGGAGTCAGCAGTTACAGTTAAAGATTATCATGTTGTGGTTTGTCACCCTCCAAGCCGACAGCTCAGGAGGAGATGTAGACAAAGAACATGTTACTGTCATTCTTAGGTGTTCACCTGCTGCTTTTCATTTTCCAATCACTCTGGGACGAGAGGTCACATGTCTGCCTCCGCCACTCAGACCAGTTCCAGGTCACTTCCTGTTTATCCAGCGTCACAGTAAATATGAACCATCGGTGGGAAATTTTGTCAGAATTGCTGTAAAGTCTTGAGTTACAGCTAAAAGGTGTTTTGCGAGGTCACACTGACCTTGACCTCTGACCTTTGACCACTAAAGTCTAATCAGTTCATTCGTGAGTCCAGGTGAGTGTTTGTGCCTAATCTGAAGACGTTCCATCAAGGTGCTTCTGAGACATCGTGTCCACGAGAACGAGACGGACGGACGGACGACCTGAAAACAAAATGGCCGCTGCTCTGACTGTCGCTGGCGGAGAGGAATAAAAATAAAGTTCCTGATGTGATTCTATAAGATTATATATAGAATAATCCCGTGTGTCCAGAGGAGGTCGGACCGGAGGAGTTAATGTGAACTCACTGACTGAACCAGGAGAAGGAAGTTTTCTTGCACGGGAACCTGCATTAGTTTCCATTGTCCTGCGGTCAGCTGCACACTCACCTGACGCAGAGAAAGAAATCTTTGTGACTCTGTCAAGAGGAAATAAGAGCCGAGGAAAACTGGAGCCTTTGTCTGCACTTCAACAAACCATGACGAGTGTCTCTAAAGTCAACATTCATACTGGGAACATATGCTTTATGTAACTTTATGTTTCTGTGGTTGTACATGAATCACTGCTAAACTTTAAAGTGAAGTACCTGCTCATGTTTCCTGTCTCAGGTCCTGACTGAACAAATCAAACATTCCTCCTCTCTGTAAGGGTTTCTGTTAGTGAACGCTCCAGATGTGTCCTCTGATCCCTGGCTATTTGTGTTCTGCACAGCTCCAGTGTTTCTGTCTGAACAGCTGCAAGTGTGAACGCTGATAAACTGAAGCTTTTCCTCCGCAGCGGCGGCAGTCAGAGCGGCCATTTTCTTTCCAGGTCGTCCGTCTGTCCGTCTCGTTCTCGTGGACACGATGTCTCAGAAACACCTTGATTCTTCAGATTTGGCACAAACACTCACCAGGACTCACGGATGAACTGAGTAGATTTTGGTGGTCAAAGGTCAAAGGTCAAAGGTCAAGGTCAGTGTGATCTCACGAAACATTGTGACCTGGAACTAGTGTGAGTGGCGGAGGGATACGACCATGAGGACGTGATACTCTCCTGTCTCTCTCTCTCCCTCTGTCTCTCTCTCTCTCTCTCTCCCTCTCTCTCTCTCTCTCTCTCCCTCTCTCTCTATCTCTCTCTCCCTCTCTCTCTGTCTCTCTCTCTCCTGTCTCTCTCTCTCTCTCTCTCTCCTGCCCCCCCCCCTCTCATTGAGACGATGATAAAGAAAAACCTATTAACATAAACCTCTAACAGTGATTATATATTTGATATATATTTGAGTGTTATTGTTCCAACTTATTATTTTAAATGATTATTTTCATAATTGAATGATCTCTGGATTATCTGATCAGTGTATTAATAATTTAGTCCATCAACTAAACTATCTGTTGGACTGTGGAAGACGTTCCTGTCGTTCATGTCATTATCGGGTCAAAATGTCAGTTTGTCCAGTAATTAGTTTTATTTTTTTAACAAAGGCAAAATAAAAGCAAAAAAGCCACAAAAAATAACTTTATAAATTAGTGTTTAACCTTGTCAATCAGTAAAATCTGGAGACATTTATTTCCACAAAAACTCCAAAAACAAAATGTTTGTCGCTGCTAAAACATCAGGAACACGTTTCTGTGTTATCACTAATAATCCCTCTGACGGGTCACTGTCAGTACAAACACTGTAACACTCACAGCACGGACTGACACACAGACTGACACACGACACACGGACTGACACACGGACTGACACACGGACTGACACACAGACTGACACACAGACTGACACACAGACTGACACACGACACACGGACTGACACGTCAACTGTAACACATCAGCTGATGTGTCTGTTTTCATCGATTAATCACAGTCATTTCCTGCATCACATCCAGAAAACCACAGTCCCATATTTATGACAGCTGAGGTGTACACACACACACACACACACACACACACACACACATTTACATTGTCCACACTGCTACAACCCATTAGGTTCTGTTGTGTACACATGAAATGATAATGACAACGTTCTGTGATCACAACAGTTGGGAGGCTTCAGTCTGACAGAAGGTCGAGCTGTTTGTCCCTCCATTAATGTCCAGCTCAGAGTTTCACAGGGGACGTTTGTCCAATCACAGCAAAGTGAGAAAACACGCAGCGTAGCGTGACACTGGGTGCAGCAGCCAGCAGCACAAAACCCCCTTAACTCTTCTTGTGTATTTAAGCTTTTCTCCTTATCTTGGTCTTAAACTTAAGGAATCCTTATAGTCAGTTAAACTGTTGCTCTAAAGACGTTAGTGACCAAAGTTCACCTGGTGAAGTTCTCGTAAAATCAATGGGAGGATGAGATCACAGGTATCACAAGTGCTAATGGCATCAAATCAACAGTCTCCATGGAAACAGTAAAACTTTACTGCTTTTTATCTTAAACTTTTTTCCTTAAGGAATGTATGTATGTATGATAAAATAACTTGATTTTACTCGTTTTCTTGACTGAATTTCCAGCAAAAAATCATCATACAAAATAACACATGGTGGTGGAAAACAACTATTTACTCAAGTGTTTTACTCAAGTGCAGTTTGTTTTACGGAGTTACTTCATTCTTCTACGTCACTTTTCAGGAGGAAATCCTCAGTGACGCCTCACAGCGACGTAATTACACAGCATCACAAACTTTACATTAGAACCTTCTGCTGTATTAGACTGAATTAGCTTTAGCTGGCTGTACTTAATAAACTGGCCACTGAGAGTGTGATCAGATTATAGAATATGATGCACTATTTTTGATTAAACCAACTAACGGCATGAAGGTTGTAAAAACTAGTTCCACCATGGAGGTTAATGCATCAGTCATAGTAATCCAATGACATAATACATATATAATATACCACATTCTGCCATATCACTTATCTGCTGCTATGTTTTGTTTTTAATATATTTAAATATCTGATTGTACATATTATATTATTTATCATGTTGAAGTATTTCACATTGTATTTTGCAGTTTTTCTTTCTTTGTACTGTCACCTTTAATACTCCAGATTTCCCCACTGGGAGACTAATAAAGGTTTATCTTATCTGAAACATTTACCTGTAACTTGAAGAGGAACTGTGGTAGATACTGAATCCACCCTCACCATAAAGTGTCCTACAATAAATCCTGATCAGATCTGCTGCTTCCTGCTTCTGTAATGTGAACACTTGATGCTTCACTCTCACTTGATTTGTGACTGTTGGTCGGACAGAACATCTGAAGACTTCGGCTGAGGAGAATTATAACGAGCGTATTTCACACTTCACACTGCAGCTGCTTCATCGCAAACATCCCGTTAAAATGTGTTATATACAGACAGACCCCCCCCCCGGACAGGACAGGGTGGGACTCACTGAGTTTGCAGAGCCAGCAGACCAGGATCCACAGAGCCACCAGGTACGGGGTGGACACATGGTGCCACTTCCAGGTCACGATAGGCAGCGTGGTGATGGGCGCTTCTCCATGTCCACCGTCATCATGTCCACCATCATCATGTCCACCATCATCAAATGTCCACCGTCATCATGTCCACCGTCATCATGTCCACCATCATCATGTCCACCGTCATCATGTCCACCGTCATCATGTCCACTGTCCCCACTGTCCCCATGACTGGTGACTCCGGTCGTGTCGTGGCCTGAGTCCGTCCTGTTCCAGATGGTGTTGCCATGGTCACCTCTCACCATGGCGCCCGCCTCCTCGCTGGCCAGGCTCGGGCCTCTGGACGCCATCAGCAACACGGAAAGAAAAAGTGCAAATGGCCAAGTGGATGACATGTTTGAAAAAAAAACTTTCACACACTGTTCGGCAACAGTGATTTAAAGAGTCAGGTCGACCTCAGACTGTGGACCTCAGTCTCATTCATCTCCCTCTCCGCCAACTGTTTCACTCTGTTCTCAAATACGTCCACATCTTTACCTGTCCAGGTGAAGAGAGTGAAGGCTCTCTGCTCTCCTCTCTGCAGGTGATACTGTTCTTTTTTTACAGGTGAGGCTCAGCCCATCCTGATGCTCGTCTGTCTCCTCCCACTTTGTACCCAGACCAGCTCGTTTGACCACTTCACTCAAAGGAAGAATTAATTGTCCTTTATTGTCCTTTCTTTATTTGCTGTGAATGTTTGATAAGCCTGTTTTCACTCATGTTAAATTTCAGAAGCACTTACTTCACTTAAATACTTTTATAAACTAATTTAAATGACTATTGTTTCTTTGCTTGAAGTTTATACAGATGATAACTTTCTCCATTTAAAGGAAAAGTCCACTTGTTTTTACCTTCTACATTTTATTTTCCTGATTTTGTCCATGATCTCCTGTGTGTATGAACTTCATGTTACAGACAGGACCCACAGGGGGGGTCAAATCTTACAGGTGACAAGATGATGAAACAGGAAAAGAGTTAAGAAAAAAATTCCAGATATTTGCTTTTTTTTCCTGAGATATCATCGATTGTTTAAGCAAACGGTGCAAAAGAGGAAAATCAATGCAACACAGATCAAAAAACGGCTGCAAGACATTGATCCAAACAATGAAGCCACACACTGACGTCAGCACAGCTTCTTACAGTAAATGTATTTTAGATTTTGCTGAACTACTTTCCTGCTCCGCTCTGACCTTTCAGAGTGACACACACACACACACTCACACACACACACACACACACACACACACACACACACACACACACACACACACACCATCTTCACTTTAAGTGGTTCAGATATAAAGTAACGGTGACCAAACTGCAACGAGATACCTTTTTCTTTTGGTTGTTTTATTTGATATTATTATATATTCTTATATTAGAGGGTATTTCTACTTCATGTCTTCATTAGATAACAGGAGAGATGACAGGAAACAAGGAGGGAGAGATCCAACAAAGATCCCAGTCAGACTCAAACTGCAGCTACAGAGACGTTTCTATCACCTAAAACTAATGTAGTTTAACACGGTGGACAAAATATTAGAAACACCTCTCAGCATAAAGCAGCACAAACTACAGCCTCCAAAACGACCGTCGAGTTGAATCAACTTCTCTTTAACCATCAACACTTTTACACACAAGAAAATAGACAGTGCAGCTTTTTCTAATTATGCTCCAAAGCTATGGAATACAGCTGAAAACTTATTTATTTAACTTGGCTTTTAATTCATTCTCTCATATTTTATTTTCCTCACTGGTTTCTGCTTTTATTTTCATTTACATATTATATCATCTACTGTCTTATATTGTCTATTTTCATTGTCCTTCAATTCACCCTTATTTGATTATACTATTTGATTTTTATTAGATTTTTTTTATTGTAATTTGAGCCTTTGAGCCACATCTCTTGTATGAAAAGTTTATTATTATTATTATTATGGAGGAGGGTTTGTTACAGGATTGTTGTATTAGGCTGCATTAGTTATAGCTAGATTTAAACCTCTAAACTGATATAATCTGATGTCTAAGTTAATGTGTAATGTGTGTTAATTTGCTTTGTTAACTGCATATTTCAGGGAAATCTCTCAAATACTTGGCACACATCCTCCTCGGGTATTACTCCATAAAACATGTTAGCCACTCGAGAATTCAAGATGGCCGCCATTTCTGGCATCCACAAATTCATCCACCATTTTCTCATATGAATAATCCAGGTGTCAAATCAAACATTTTAATTATGTAAAAATTTAGTACACTATAAAAAATTAAAAGTACATTAAAGCAAAAATATTACTCACAAAAAGCTTGCTAACTAGGCTAGTGCTAGCGAGTTAGCCTTGATAGCTAATGTTAAGACAAGTAAACAGGTAGACTGTCGACTCCTACAGAACTTTTGGTTCATCATTCGTCATAAATGCAAATCCATTTTTATGAAGAATTTTTTACATTACATTTTAGAAATCGCACAAAAAAAATTTTGAGAGTCTAAAACAGGATTAAAGTGCAAAATCACTGAAATCTGTCCCGTGGGTAAAATTCTCCCATGCCAGAAATGGCAGCCATCTTGAAATTTCAAATTAATGGCCCAAGAAGAATAAACATACCAACTTTGGTGCTTGTCTCCACATTAGAAAGATTATTGCAGTTACCTGCTGCGCTAATAAACGTGTACAGGAAGTGTCCGACGACATGTGGACGGGAAGGCCGTTTGACCCGTTTGTCTCCCTTATTGGAAAAGAAGCGCCTGCACCCCCGACATCCTCTCCCTCCCCTGCCAGACTACACAACAAAAACTGTGTTGACCCTTCATTGCCACTATCCCTGTGTGTTTAGGTGACAGAGACTAGTAAATGAACCCTAGTTTGGACGCGCCGTCTCTTTTCCATGAGTCGTTAATCACGGTTTATATCCGCGAGTCGCAACCCCTCTAGTTACAATTTAAACAGCTCCTGTTCTCACTGGTAGGAGCCCTAAGATCCTTCATTCACTCCTTCTCTCTGTATTAATCAGATCATTATCTAAGGACTGGGAAAAGGGTTTTTCCAGTATTTTACAAAGAACACATTTACACAACAGAAGGTGTTTATATACATCTTTCCCTTAAACTTCATTTCCTGGTTTTTGTGTTTAACCTAGACACACACGGAAAGACAGCACTATACTTAACACGGATGTTTGGTGCATCTGCCTTTTCAATGATAAAAGACAGACTGAACACTTTAGTCTTCATATCTTTATAGGACATGTCAGCAGGACGCATCCACATCTGCAGATTTCTATTAAATAACAGCAGCAGTTAAAACTAAAAAAGCAGAAATTCAAACATCCAGGATGTTCAGGCAATAAAACCCGGAAAAGTTCAGGATTTTTTTTCCTGGATTCGCTCCAACATCTAATTACTTCTTCTTTGTAGCATGACCAAACTTTCTTCTTAATTACCTTATAATCTAATGACTGATCTTTGACTCACTAAAAAACAACCAGGACCAAAATCACACGTCATTCCCCTATTTCCTCGCCCTGTTTCTATTTAACCACACTGAAACCTGCAGAGTCATTTTCTCCTTCTGGACACCAGCATGGACTTCAGGAAGTTGCTTGCATGGCATCTCTGTTGACAGTTTATGAGTAAACTGGCTGCATCGATTGCTGCCCTGGCTTTAGAAAAGTCCGAGACTCGTATCTAAGGTCAGTGGTAATCAGGGTCTTTGTGAGGGCAGCCGTCAACAGAGAAGTGCTCTGATTGTGTCTTGAGCTCTGAGGTTAGTCATCAACAGGACGATCGCTGGGAGGACCTAGATCAGACTCGCTACAGACCGCCATGAGGGTTTTGGAATAAATAAAAGAACGACCTCAACATGATGCCGTCAGAATTACAGAGTCACAGTTGCAGGAAATCATGATTCATTTTTCCTGACAACTAGAACTGAGACAATCAATTAACCAACTGACAGAAACTGAAAAAACCCAATTATGACAATTATTTAAATCATGTATCAAGCCGACAGCAGCTCTGTGAGGCTACGCTGATACATCATGAGCTACCAATGCTAACATGCTCATAATGACAAGCCAACATGCTAATGTTTAACAGGTATAACATTTGTTATGTTCACCATCTTAGTTTAGCATGTCTGCATGCTAACATTTGCTAATTAGCACTAAACACAAAGTACATCTGAGGATTATGGGATGTCACTGGTCTTGAAGATCATTGCTCACAAAACAAAATACTGGAAAATCTGAAGTTTTGACTGACAACTGACAGATGATGGTTTTGTGTTGTGTGTGTGTGTGTGTGTGTGTGTGTGTGTGTGGGGGGGGGGTTGTCTGTGTATTTGATTTAGTTGCATCTGGAGCAGATTTACTGACTGAAGTTGAGTTGCTTAAAGTTTGTGTTTCCATGGTTTGTACAGACTATATCTCTGAACCTTTGGGTGAGCTACCTGGAGCTCTCCTGCTGCAGATCCCTGCATTAAATAAAATATTCTCTGGTTCCAGGTTCTTACCTGAGAGGATTTCCCTCTTTTCTCTGTTTTATGTCGATGTCAAAGGAAAATCTTTTGTTTTAAAATGTTGTTTGGATAAAACAAGATTTCTCAAAATGTCACATTGAACTTTTTTAATATTTATCATTATTTTATGATATTTTATCAACTAAATGATTAACACATTGATCAGATAATCCACAGATCATTCAATAATGAAAATAATCATTAGTCGGAGGCCTCTCTTAGGGATGTTATCAAGTAGGAACACACAATGACTCAAAGCTCTAAAACATATAAGTTATAATCACTGTTATAGTTAAATGTTAAAGTTATATATGTTATTAGTACAGATTATCTTGTTATGTGATGGGAAAGTGTCAGTGAGCCACTGAGAGGAAGAAACATCAGTGAGAGTCAGACACAAAGAAAACAACATCCATCTGGTATTTTCCTCATTCCTGTGATCGTCATCGTTTACATGTTTTAACATTTGGATCAGTGTTTGTTCCAGACAACGCGTCATTGACTGATTTAACTTTTATCTATTAATAAACTCGCCCAGTTACTCAGTGTTTTCTCCTTTGATAACAAACATTCAACTATTGTAAATGAATGTTTCTCTGCTGAAGTATTTTCTGTTGTGCAATATGGAAAACATGGCAGGAGATAAGAATGGAACTTTTACCACACAGTTTCTGCAGAGTTCCTTAAGTTAATACAACATTATTAATCACATCTTGAATCACATTTAATACCTATTTCACGGTCCTTTTGGCCAAAGCATGAATGACTTCAATGAAAACCAGCAGCACCTGACATTAATTATCTTTTCAGTACTTTCCATCATTATGTAACAATAATTCCACTTAATATCCTTAATTAATCATTAAACCTGCAGTGTTGAACTCTTGTCTCCCCCTTCTGGCAGTGACAGTAATTACACAAACACTGTTGAACACAGAGAGATTTCCACAGTTCCAAGATAATAATGAGTTATTATTCAGGTAGAGTAAATGTAATGGCTACAGAGCCTACTCCAAATATTTTACAAATGTCAACCTGTCCAGGAGCAGGAAGGTGTCATCATGTCTGTCTCAGTCCCTTCTCTTCCTTCAGTGCTCTCCAACGAGGAGAAGCCAAAACCAGGCAAATCATATCATCATATGAAGTATATGATAATATGATTTATTTTAATATTTCATATAGACTTATAGAAGATATTTGTAATTGAAATTAAGACTTTTTAATGACTTCAAAGGCCTTTTTTCTTTGTGGAAACTGGAACTGACTTTCACCACGTCTAGATATCCTGTACAACAAATCAACATGAATGTGATTATTGTTAATCTTTGAGTTAATCACTGACAGTGACTGCTCTTTAAATGTTTTATAAATCTAACACTGTACTGACACAAAGTGGAGAAGAGTTCTTCAACAGTATGAAACTTACACAAATACAACAAATACAACTGTATTGTTCCCACTACTGAATGTAGCTGTTTAAAAGTCACAGCATGTTCATCTGCCACAGAGAGTTTGTGGTGTCAAGTTACAGAGGATGTTAAATAAAAACAGTGCAACCTGCAGGGACTTCACTTGTCATCACAGAGTCTAAGTTTACAGTTCAAGTTAGTAACAGAAATGTTGAACCAACAGAGGCTGACCGAGGTGACCTTTGATATGAGCACAATCTGATATTACTCAACTTATCTCATTTATCATAACTAAAGAGCAGGTGAGTGTGGTCCTTGCTTGTGTTGTATAAACTCTAATATGTACGTCGCTTTGGATAAAAGCGTCTGCCAAATGACATTGTAGAATTGTAGAATTGTAGAATTGATTGCCTACAATATAAACATGAATAAATACTTTCTATACAGTCTGATACACAAACTGCAACAGTGTCCCCGACACACCCAATAAATCACTTAACACCTGTTAGATTCTGAAAGAAACATGAATCAGTCTAAACTATGTGATTCAGAGAGGCAGTGTTTCAGATTGGGGATTTGTAACTCACTTACCTCAAAGACTTCAGCTGCACATTGAGCTTCGATTCAATCATGACGTCTTGATTCTTGTGAGGAAAACTTCAGCCTGGACCCATGATGCTGCTCAAAGAGACGAATAGAGGAGGTTAGAAAAAGTATTTCCTTCATGTTAGGTTGCTTTACTAAAACCTGTATCCACATGCTTTTTGCCATTCTGTGTATTTTATTAAAACTGTATTTTTCTGCATATCTCTTCAGCTAAACTCACAAAGATCAGATGAAAAAAAGATGAGAAGGTTGTGAGAATATAAAAGTGTAAATCCACACTGTAGAAACATTTTTAATCAATGGTTAAATCATTGGGTTTCCCCAGTTTTCATTTCATCACAGTTATGAATGAACATAACAGAATGAGTATATGACACATCTGAATAACTTCCCCGTCTGCTGCAAGTCACCTAATGGCCACTAGAGACTCCCATAAGCTCATCACATACAAGTCTTTTTTGTTAGATCACCATTAATGAGCAAAGAGTATCGTACAACACACAGACATATAGATATATACCTTTTTCACAGAAGATGTTACTAGAACTGTAAACCTACATTTAACATGTCACAGAGGAAAAGCACAGATGTAAATAATGAAATGTTTCAGTTTCAGTTTCAGGGTGTTGTTAATGCTGGGACACTTGAACACAACAGAGTGTCAGTGGTGGAAAGTGAATATTTACTCAACTTAAGTACATTTTTGATGTTGATTAATTTATTGATGTGATGATAAATTGATGAGACTGATGGTGACAGGAGCGTTCTGTGTGTGTGCTCACATTCAGACAAATGCATCAAAACTCACTGGACGACATTCCACCATTCAGCAGAACAATAATCCTACACATAGAGCCAAAGCAACCACAGTTTTCCAAGGTGAAAAAGTGGAATATAAAGACTAGTTAAGTCAAATACCTGATCTCAAGCCACTTGGTGAAAACCATCCTGAAGGCAGAGAGGCCCAACAACAAGGAGCTGAAGGAGGCTGAGGTGAAGGCCTTAGAGAGCATCACAGGGAAGATACAAAGCGTCTGCTGATGTCTATGGGTCGACTGGTTGCAAAAATTTAGAATGTATAAATAGCCTATCTGACATTAATTAATGCATGATTAATCCTTAATTAATGTTTCAGAGAGCAGCTATCACACAATATCATGTCCTGTTTTACCTAAGACATAAAAACATAACAGCCATAATGATTTAAATGTATTTTATTGAAAGTGAAAATGACAAGAACATTCTGTAACTGCTGGGATTTATTATACAACCAGATCCAGATCAGATCCAGGCCTCAGTCCAGTCTGTCTGCTGCCAGAACCTCAGTCAGTGAAGTGCCCCGATCTCTGTTCTGATCTCAGATCAGAATAAATGATTCTAATGTTTATTTTGACATTGTTTTGTTACATTGCAGGTGCTTGTGCTTGTGCAGGTGCAGATCTGGTGTCTGTGTCGAGGCACCCTCTGACCTCTGTGTGACCTCTGTTCCTTATGTGCACCATATATGATCACTCCTATGCTGTTTGACTCTGTCACTGTTTCCAGATCCCCCATGACTTCAAAGACCAGCAGGTGCCTGTCTCTGGGGGAACCTGGGCAGATGTGGCGGGAACACAGACAGTTCTGGTGACAGTGTCGAGGTCCCCCTTGAACTCTGTCACCACTGTCCCATAACAAATACACACAGACAGGGCATGTACAGTTTCACAGTTTCAAGATCCCCTAAAACCTCCATGTTCCTTCATCTGACGCACAGATCTAATATCTGTGGATCTACAATCCACTTCAATAGATACGGCTCAGATTTGACCTGAACAGCCTCAATGTACAAACATTCACAGCACCTGAACAAAAGTATAAAATATTATAATATTTTCATTTTGGTGTATTTTGGATCACTTTAGGAAAAGTCATCAAATTTCTGGCTAAAATACATTTATGGTATTTTTTACTGCTGTCTACTTTACAATTTGACCCGAACAGCTTGTAAGGGTTAGCCTAGACTAGCGAAGAATTAAAGCTAGCAAGCTAGTGCTATAGCAAGCTAATGTTGCTAGCTATAATGTTATTATCGTAAACTCAGCTACTCAGCAGAGATGATAATGCATTTCTTGCCACTGGTTAGATAGCGATAAATGATAGTGAACGTATTTTCTCAGAAATCTAAAATCAGTAAGGCTAAAGGATTCAAAATCATTGATGTGCATCCGGCTTCTTACCCCAAATCAAAGGGGGCGTCTTCCATCGAAAATCCAACTCTAACACTTCCTCACGTTACAAAAAGGTTTTACTTAAAAAACATTAATTTTGATTTTCTCCCATCAGTGAAGTAATTTTGATGCTATTAAAAGATTAGTGAGGCCACAACCATGTAGTGGTCAGGAGGGGAATGGGGGGGGGGTCTTACCGCAGGCTAACCTTGGCACTTTAGTGTAACATCCACTTTTTGTTTCAAATTGAATAATGGCGCCTGAGGAGCAGGATGTGAATTGTACGTTAATGTGTATGGTTCCTACCTGATGCTGTGGCTCCGCACATGCGATAGGATGAGGTTAGTTTGAGGTGAGGTAGAAACACACATCACATCACATCGTCAGGGAAACAGACTTCGACACAACACGTGACGTTACCCAGCATTCTGCGGGCGCGCTGACAGAAACCGACAGAGGAAGAAGATGCAGATCGGTGAGTAAAGTCTGTTTAAAACACTACGAAGTCATATATCTACACTTGTATACCTGCCGTGTTTGGTTTTAATGCGGCGCTGAACGTTTGTGACGAATATGAAACTACGTCATTGTATTTCGACGTTGTTTTTAACCAGGAAGCAACAGAGCGGCCGGTGTTTAAATTCCCCAAACTTGGTGTTACGGGTGAAGTTGTCACCGGTATCAAACAACTGCTCGTCGCTAGCTACAGCTGTGCTAACGACCACGTCAGCATTTTGTCGGGGGGGGGGGGGGGGGGGGGGGGGGGGGGGGTTGACGGTATGGAGACTAGCTAACATCGCCCGGGAAAGCTCCAAACCCGAGTGGAGGCGTTTTGGCAGCGGGAGAGAGAGGCTGGTCTCTGAGGCTGATGTCTGCCAGTGTTGGGCAAGGACGCAGCCGAGCCCGCTGACAGGCCGACGTCACTGTCAGCTGTTTGATCTGCTGGAGCGGTTTATCAGTCAGAGGCTTTTTACTTCGGTGGTGAGATTCAGTTGGACCTGACGCCACACTCACTGGCACTCACTGACTGAAGGCTGTTGTACAAACACGTCATGAAGGTATGACGTTACAGAGCTGTTGCCATAGATACATTAGTTTTTATTAGGATGTCATTAACATCCTTTGCGCATAGAACAGCTTCCCCAGGTAGCAAAATAAATCTGGCTCATACTTTGGCCATATTTAAAAACAATGAAATCAATTAAAAGAAAATAAATTTGAATTTAAATAAAATACATAGAAATTAGACAAAACTTCAAGAAACACAAGACAAAAGAGAAATACATTGAAAGATTTTAAGGCTAACTGTTTGATCAATTTTAACCTCAGCAGTCACAGTACAGTTACACAGCTCTACATCTAATAATAATCACAAAAATAACCCCAGGACAGTTCATCTGTCAGTGTTGAGGACTCTGAACCTCAGTCCCGTTTCTGCGAATTAATGGATTTTATTGAGTTTTTGTCAGTGTGGATAATTCTGTCTGGATTTAATAACTAAACAGATTTTGTTGTTGTTTGTAATTTGTTGCAGTCTGAAGTTTAATCCAGGCCGCTGCCCTGTCTGTGGTGAAACACAGTTGAATACTGAGGCCTTGTGGCATGAAAATGTGAGTATCCCTGTAATGCACAGAGAACATCTAGTGTGGCATATTGCTGTTGTCAGAAGCCTAAAAGTCTGCACATTGAGACACTGAAATAGAAAAGCACAAACAAGCATGTGTCAACACTGTGATAAAGCCTCCAGTGTTAATGAACACTGTCACAACAGTGTCCTGATTTCACTTTGTGCTGCAGGCTGTGTGCGCTGACAGCTGCTGTTGGCACTGGAGAGATTTTCCTCTTTTATATCATTACAGCCAAACTGACACTGCACAACATTTCTAGTGTTGCATGGTGGCTTTAATGGAGCAGGATAATGCATGTAGGACAGTTTGACTAATGTCAGTTAAGTGGACACTGCATGCTCAGTATATGTCCTGTTTATTCATTTACATTTACATTTACATGGAATCATTTGTCAGACGCTTTTATCCAAAGTGTATGAACATAATGTTCACATGAACAACTTATTATTATTATTATTATTATTATTACAAATTCTTAAAAATATATATTTTCTTTTTGAATAATTGTGACCCAGATGTTTTGTGAGCGGGACATTTCACATTTGAAAAATAAACAGTGTTTTCCTGGCAGACAAACTGTTTAATGGACACTTCTTCTAAATGACCTCAAACGCATCATTGTTGGCATTTCTGTAGTGCAATTCTTACTACTTAGCCACAGATAGAATACTTGCTAATAACAATATATTTGTGATAAGATAATATCAGCCAATACACTGTATTGCTCTTCTTGCCAATTCATCAAACAGACTTTAACAGATAAAGAGAGAAAGAGAAAGTCTCGGCAAAGTCTGAACTGGGATAAAAATACCATAAATAACATGTAATGCTCGACTTTAGAAAGACACAGTCACATCGTGGACTGGTAACATCTACATTATAGAAACCTGCAGTCGGACCTCTGGGGTTTTGTGTGATGTGGGTAACAGCTGATCACTTTCAGCTGAACTGTCATTAAAGTAACAGGATATTTTGCTCATATTCATTTCTTATATCTTATAGGCTTGGTTCTCTTTTTAGCACGTAGCTGTTAGCTCCTTAATTTTCTTGTCAGTTTGTGAATGTGAATCTCCTTTTCAGTCTTTGTCAGTTATCAACAAAGAGAACAGACTATCAATATACAAGTTTTCAATATTTTCAATCAATCAAACAGCAGATATGATTGTTATGTTTGAGTAAACAAATCAACTCATCTTACTCTCATCTTTGTGTCTTTTTGCATCTGGACACATTCAAATGATCACATGACAACCCAGTTTTAAAGTTCTGTCCTCAGGCTGTTGTGGAACTTCAACCCTTGACCAAGGAGATAACATGAGTACAACGACCAACACATTGAGTTGTGTTGCAGCAGATGAGATCATCATGATGCGTGTGTTTACCCTGAGGGTGATGGTGCCTGTTCTTCAGGATGTTCATCACATGTCTGCTGTGTCAGTGGCTACAGAGGCAGATATAAAGGAGGCTAAAGAAAGCATCTCATCTGTCTCTCTCTCCTGCAGCCTCAGATATGGATTACAAGGTTGTGTTTTCAACCTTGGAGACCGTGTGTGAAGACAACATCTCTATTCTGTGTGGGCCTTCTGAGTCTTCTGACTTGCCGTACGGCACTGTTGCCGAGCGCCTGATCACATGTCTGAGACAGATTCAGGAGCACGGTCGAGCTCTGGAGCCCGTGGTCGCCAGCTTCACCGCCATTTATCACCACTATGACTTCGACGCACAAACGCCGGGGAATGGATACCGCACCCTGGTCAAGGTATGACTCACTGCTGGACTGTGCTGTGTTATGTGACCTGTTATTGATTCTTACAAGTTTTGTGTAAGTAAACAAAACTCAAGTAAGCATAGTTGCTGTTTGAGTGTAGTTTGTAGGTTGTCAACAATGACAGGTTAAATTTAATCATCAAACATTAGATTTGTGTAGTTATAGTTATAATCTGCAACTTTTCCACATTAAAATGTCTAAAAACAATTGGACCTCTGTTCTATATGTTGTCGAGTCGTGTTCTTACATCATCACAAATGTTTCCATCAATTCAAAAACCAGAGAAATCTGTGATTTTTTATCATGGTAACGTTTCATTGGTCGCCTGTTGATGACATCACATCCTCTATGATCATGTGTCAGTGTGTTTGTCTGACAGAAGCTCAGCATTGACTTATTATCTAGTTTTAAGCCACAGACACTTTTTCCACCTCGGTGGTTTCCGGCTCGTTATTTGAAGCAGATGATTTTAGTCGTCGGACGTTTGGATCTTTATCAGAGAAACAAGCTGCTCAGCTGCAGCTGCTTTGTGGATGTTTCTCCTGGTGTTAATCCCCTGGTGTGTTTGTTGTGGAGTGGAGGAAACCTCTGTGGATCATTCAGCTGCTGGTAAAAACCTGCTGAATGTCTGGTTCATGAGTGATCAGAGAAACAGTCAACAGAACAAAGGTTAGCATCAGTCTCAGCTCCAGCTCTTCCCTGAGTCTCTGTCCTCCGTACAGCGTCGCTCAGACTCTGACTTTAAATGTGAAACTGATTTATTTAGTGTTTTTAATGGTTAGAATGTGTTTGATTCCCTGAACCACTGACACTGAAGGAATCCAAATCTATCAAATGTCGTTTCCCTTCATCTTCAGTAAAATCCACAGTTTCTTTGTCTCTCCTGTTGTTTGTTTCAGGTCTTACACTCCTGCCTCTTGCACATCATTCATAAGGGCCGGTACATCGCCTCTAACTACAACAGTGCCTTCTTCAGGGCCGAGCACAACGCGTCTGAGATGGAGGCGTACTGCAGCGCCCTGTGTCAGCTGCGCGCCCTCCTCCACCTCGCCGAGCAGCTGATCAGTGACAACGACTGCGGCCAGCTGTACTCCCTACAGGACAGGGAGCTGAGCCGCAGGTTGGTGCAGGAGTACAGCTCCATGCACAAGGCCTGTTTCTACGGCCGCTGTCTGGGCTTTCAGGTGAATTATTCCTCACGACCTTTCTTTGTTTTAACAGATATGTTAAAGAACTGTGATTCAGATTATTAGTCGGTTAACACTTTTCACGTAGGTACAGTTTATGTTACTGATCTTTTTTCCTTTCAGTTCTCTCCGACCCTCCGTCCGTTCCTCCAGACCGTTGTCATCAGCATGGTTTCCTATGGAGAGACGTATGGGAAGCAGCAGTCTGGGTTGGGTGAGTCTTGTTCTTCTTTATTCTCAGGTCCTTGTTTTGATATTTTCAGATGTGATCATCTTTAAAATAAGTTTCCCTCCCCCTCCAGGTTTGGCAGCTCTCTCTCTCCTCACATCAGGGAAGTACGTCATCGATCCTGACCTGCGGGGCGCTGAGTTTGAACGCATCACCCAGAACCTGGATTTGCAGTTCTGGAAGTCCTTCTGGAACCTCACAGAGTCCGGCCTTATAACAGTAAGCAGGGTCAAACACTGTCACTATCACTCTGATGTTACCGGAGCTGCTCTTCAGTGGTGTCACTCCTCTCTCCCCTCCTTACTGTCTCTGTCAGGGCTTCAACAGAATAGCCTCAAACCAAGTGCAGGTGAACTTCACCCTGACTGTGCCTCCTGTCACACTGCGCCTTCCTCTGGCCTCAGACCCCAGTCTAACAGCCACTGTGTCACCTCCAATAGCCCACTGGGGCCCCGGGCCGGTCCACATGCGTCTGATCTCCTACGAGCTTCGAGAAGGACAGGTGAGGATCTACAGGAAAAATCTAAAATACTCCTAAAGTAATCAACAAACAAAACAAAGCAAACTTCATTTATACGACACTTTTCAAAACAGACAGAAGAGATGAAAGATGAAAAAAGAAAACAATATATTTAAAAACAAAGAGAAGAAAGTGAACAAACCACAAAATATTTCAGTAATTCATAATTATAATTCTTTATTCAGATGAATTACTTATAGGACATTTGTAAGAAATTGTATTGCATGGACTTTTTGTCTCCTGTCAGAATCAGGATCAGAATCTGGTTTAAGCCGGTTTTAAACATAAAAGGAATTAGCTTCGATGTTTTGGTTCATAACAATAAACATAAAAATATAAACAAATATAAAACAAGCGGGTCCTGCAGGTCAGAGACATTACATATACGTAGAAAAACACCTTATTGCTTCTCCTTTAACTTTATAGGACAGTGAAGAGCTGCTGGCTTTCTCCCGAGCCGACCCTCCTCCCATCTCCGTGTCTCATCTCCCCTGGGTGCAGAAACAGCCTCGCTCCCCCTGGCTGCTCATCCACTTCCACGGAGGAGGTTTTGTCGCTCAGACGTCCAGATCTCATGAGGTACAGAACAGACTGATGGAGTTACTACATTTAAATCATCTGGTTAATACTACGACGTACAGTTGATGGTATTAATCACCAGGGGCGGGTTCTCGTCAGCTGAGGGAGTTACTGAAGGATGTTGCTCAAAATTACAGCAGGGAAAGAGATTTTACAGCAGTAAAATTCTACTGTTTCCATGGAGACCGTTGATTTGCTTTGGTCACTAAGGTCTTTTGTGCAACAATTTAACTGACTTCAAGGGATTTCTGAAGTTTGAAGAGAAAACCTTAAAACCTTAAATACTCCAGTGAACATTTTAAGGAAGGGAAGGAAGGAGAAGACTTAAGGGTGTTTCATGCAACTGTTTTATTTCAAGGAAAGATCTTAACTTAAGGCGTTTTGTTTGACTGGCCGCAGAGTCTTACAGTCTTACAAAGCAACAAACCATTTATTAAGCAGCTGTTGCTTTGAACTTCATCACACATCTTTTATTCTGTTACTCTCATCTTCCAGAATTACATTCGGAGCTGGTCGAAGGAGCTGAACGTCCCCGTCCTCTCCGTCGACTACTCTCTGTCACCTGAGGCGCCGTTTCCCCGAGCTCTGGAGGAGTGTTTCTACGCCTACTGCTGGGCACTGAACCACTGTCACCTGCTGGGTGAGGGTCACACTACACTGGGCTCCAGTAGACCAATCAGGAGAACTCATAACATTTTTATTCATTAATCTGTTAATATTTCTTAATATTTTTTGGCCATTAATCTGTCAGTTACTGTTTATCTTTTCTTCTTCTTTTTTTTTACTTAGTAAAAAGAAGCTTAAGAGAGAAAAAACTATAAACACACTGAGAGCAGCAAACATGTTCAGTATACACTAATATATTCACATGAGCAGGTCTGCAGGCTTTAACAAATGCTGCAGAGCACATACACTTTCATAGTGCACCAGCTCCAGCAGGAGGGCACGACATGTACTGATGTGTACACACTATCAGTTCATTATCAGAACATGGAAAGTGTCATATGTGCCCACTCACATGCCCAAGCACTGCAGAAATGTAAAGACATAGAAACAGGATGAAAAGCTAAATGGTAATAATTATCTTTTGAGGGAGTTTTCAGTTATTGGTTTGTCTGTAAAACATAAGAAAATTGCGAAAAATACCCAAAGTGACATTTTCATTCATTGTTTTGTCCAGAATTCAAAGACTTTCAGTTTGCACCAATGAAACACTTGGAAAAGCAGGAAATCTAATAGTTTCAGCAGCTGATGATCATGTGAAGTGATTTAGATAAAAACATCCACCAAACAAACTTTTAAAATCTCTTCGTTCTTTAACATATTAAACATATAATGATCATCAGTGTTAATAGATGTTAATGCTTCTGTATGTACAGGCTCCACAGCGGAGCGGGTCTGTCTGGCGGGGGACAGCGCCGGAGGAAACCTCTGCATCACTGTGTCCATGAAGGCCATGTCCAGCGGCATCCGAGTCCCCGACGGCATCATGGCCGCCTACCCCGCCACCCTGCTCACCACCGACGCCTCGCCCTCCCGCCTGCTCACGCTCATCGACCCAATGTTGCCTCTAGGTGTTCTCGCTAAGTGCATCAACGCCTATGCAGGTATGTGGGCGTACAGTGTGTGTGTGTGTGTGTGTGTGTGTGTGTGTGTGTGTGTGTGTGTGTGTGTGTGTCACAGCTCATTTAACTCGAGCACTTTCTGTCACTGGAACAGGAAACAGAAAACCACACGTGTTATGTAAGATGTTGATATTAACCCTTGGTCTGACCTCGCTCCCTCCCAGGTACAGACTCGTGCACGGTGCAGCCTGCGGTGGGCAGCAGCAGTCTGAGCGCTCTGGGCAGAGACACGGCTCTGCTGCTCAGCGATCTCACCCAGGGAGCCTCCAACTGGATCCAGTCCTTCCTGGACCCCATGCGGAGCTCAGGTGGAGCACGCTCCCTGTCGTCGCCACAGAGGAGGTCTCAGAGCGGCGAGACCCACAGGACGTCCAATCACACCTCCACGCTGGCTCCCGGAGCTTACCCACAAGGCTTTGAGCCCCTGCGCTCCGAGTGTCTGGCTTTCATTCGCCCGACCTCGTGTCCCATCATCAGGAACCCGTTTGTGTCACCGCTGCTGGCTCCAAACAACCTGCTGAGAGGCCTGCCGCCCGTCCACATCGTGGTAAGACGGGGGGGGGTGGTGGTAATGTGGTTTCACCTGTTTTATTTTACCACCAGAAAATTACAAGTCTTATAACTTATGAAAATAAATGAGTATTAATTGGACGAAAGCATCCAAAGTTACACACACACACATACACAAACACACAAACACACACACACAAACACATACACAAACACACACACACACACACACACTCACACTAATCCAGCCTGTTTTTATTCCTCCGTGCCGGCAGCGGTCTGAGTAGCAGCCATTTTGTTTTGAGGTCGTCCGTCTCATTCTCGTGGACACGGTATCTCATTAACGCCTTGAGTGAACTTTTTCATCACAAACATTCACTCGGACTCAGTGATTAGTTTTTGGTGGTTAAAGGTCAAAGGTCAGTGTGACCTCACAAAACACTTTTTAGCCGTTACTCAAGACTTCACTTCACAGCAGTTAAGACAAAATTTCCCACAAATGGTTCATATTTTATATCTTATGACTCTGGATAAACAGGAAGTGACCTGGAACTAGTGTGAGTGGCGGAGGGATACGACCCCGAGGAGGTGGTCTAGTATCAGTTTTCTGTTTGTGGTTTTCAGTACGTGTCCTCCATGTCTCCACTCAGGCCTCTGCTCTGGACGCCTTGCTGGACGACTCTGTGATGTTTGCCAAGAAGCTGCGAGACATGGGTCAGCCGGTGACTCTGACGGTGGTGGAGGACCTGCCCCACGGCTTCCTCAGCCTATCACAGCTCGCCAAGGAGACGGTGGTCGCCACTGAAGTGTGTGTGGCGCGAATGAAGGAGATTTTTGAGCAAGAAAACCCGACGTCTGCACTTCACAAACGGCCATAGTACCCGTCCCTCCGGCTGGTCTTTCTGTCCTTCTTGGGACTGAAAGAGAGAACTGACAGAATGTGGAGAGACGGATGCAATAAGTTTAAATAAAGGAAACAAGAGTTAAGAGGATGCAACAAAACTGTAAAGATGGAGGAAGCCACACAACAACGATGTTCTTGTACCAGCTCTAATATGATCCTACATGATGATTAGAAAAGGAAATAATCTGTATTTTTCTACTAAGATTCACACACTGAGGATGCAGATGAAACGCACATAGAAAATATCACAGACTGACATTAAAAATCACCATAACCAGCCCTGACAGTGACTCACACACTGACCTGTCAGTAACAGGAAGCTGTTGTGCCTTCAGATTAAAGTGTTTGGATCGAGGTTTACTTGTACAGGAAACACACTTCAGATGCACTGTAGTATTGTTATTATTATTGTTATTATTATTGTTATTATTATTATTATTATTATTATTATTATTATTATTATTATTATTGTTAGATTAAATATATCATCTGTTTTTTCCAGTTTGTCACATGTTTACAACATATTGATCAGGAGGCCTTCACCTTGTATTAACCAGCAGGATGTGGATGTGGGTGTAAAAGTAACTTGTTCTAATGTAAATTAATTCATAAATATTATATATATTTAACACAGTGTTGTTAAACTTAAAGTCTATTAAATCAAAGCTGCAAATATTCCTGGTGTTGATGTTTCCTTTGATTGAAGTGTTCAGACTTAGAGAGGGACGTGATGTCAACTGGGACTCATCAGTGTTTCCTCTTCGGTTCTGTGCAGCGTCCTGACGAACTTCCTGACCCTGTGGACTCTTATGTTTTACTCTTAATTTAATCAGACATTTCATAAATAGTGTCTTTAATCATGCTGTGTAGAAACATTGTTAAAGCGTCTGTGTCATATGTGGATGACTGATTGTTCTGCAGGTTATTACAACACATTTATAAAACATTATAAACGTTACAGCAGAATAACCTGAATGTGACGTTTTTAACACAGCTTGACATTTCCCATCCCTGATGATAACCGCCTCCACCTTCACACTGTTTGCTCTTGCAGCACTTGTCAGTGTTCCCATACTGTACATGATGTGTTTGTCATTTTTCTGGCACCAGCTCCGTCTCCTTCTCCTTCTTCTTCTTCTATTGGTTCTTCCTCAGCGCTGACCATCAGTGACGTCGACCGCAGCAAACGCACACAAACTTTAAATGTGAAGAGTTGAATGAGATGCCTCCGTGTCTGCAGGAGCCCAAAGACACGATGTTGCTCCACGTCTTCCTCCTGTTGGCGGCGACTAACGGTGAGTTTGAGTCAAAGTAAAAACAAAAGTTCAGAATGATAAAAGCTTTTTATAGAAACTTCCATCACCTCAGCTTTCAGAGATGTTTCCTCTCTTGAGCTTCTTTAAAAAAAAAAAAAGTTACGCAGTAACTTCCTTTGCTAATTAACAGGCAGATTAAAGGCCAAAAAACAATGACCTCACTCTGATAATAATAATAATAATAATCTTTATTTACAGAGCACTTTTCAAAACCTGCTTAACAAAGGCAGAAATAAAATAAAACTAAAATAAATCTAAATAAAATAATACTGTGCTTACACAGTGTTGTTTAAAAGTTGCTGTATAAATAAAGTTATTATCATTATTATTATAGTAGACTGGCAGATAACGAGCAGGTGGTCGTCTTATTTCACAGTTTTCCTCCTCGTTTCTTCTCTTGTTTCCTCTCCTGTCTGTTTCCTGTTCAGCCGCCTTCAGCTTTGACGACAGGATCGTGGGTGGTTACGAGTGTAGACCTCACTCCGTCCCCTGGCAGGTGTCGCTCAACAACGGCTGGCACTTCTGCGGAGGAACCCTGATCCACAGCCGCTGGGTGGTCAGTGCTGCTCACTGCTATAAGTAAGTCAGAGTTAGACCCGCAGCACCCAGCTCCGCCGAGAGAGGAGTGTTCACCTCTGCTCTGTTCCCATCATGCACCAGGGATGAGAACATTGAGCTGCGTTTGGGTGAGCACCACATTCGCTACAAGGACGGCCCCGAGCAGTTCATCGCCGCTGCTGCCGTCATCCGCCACCCCGAGTACGACCGTTACACCATCAACAACGACATCATGATGATCAAACTGGCCGAGCCGGCGGAGCTTAATGAGTACGTGCAGCCGGTGTCCCTGCCCAGCAGATGTGCCCCTGCAGGGACCCAGTGTCTGGTGTCAGGGTGGGGGGCCACTCAGAGTCCCTGTAAGTTCCTGCCAGTGAAGTGAATCCAGTGGCTGCAGGAGCCAGGAGAAGATCAGCTGTCAGGTGTCTCATGTGTCTCTGTGGTTTTGTGTTGTGACACAGTCGGATGTCTGAAGTGTCTTCACTGCCTGGACCTGCCCGTCCTGTCCCAGCAGGACTGTGAGCGCTCCTACCCCGACAGGATCACCGCTGCCATGTTCTGTGCCGGCTTCCTGGAGGGAGGAAAGGACTCCTGCCAGGTACACCACAAAACCACACAATCAGACTTTAGTTTTGTCTGTACAGATTTCAGCTTGTTGACTCAGTTTCACGTGACAAAATAACTTTGGAACTGATCTCGTCTCTGTACAAGTTTTACATTCTGCTTTTCTAAACTTTTTGTTGTGTTATTTAGTCAAGTTATCAATTCATCGTCCCATTATTTCTCAATTAATCCATTCAGCGTCGGTGGTTACAAGTGTAGACCTTTATTATTTTCCGTCTGGTCCATCAGGGAGACTCTGGGGGTCCTCTGGTGTGTAACGGCGAGCTGCAGGGGGTGGTGTCCTGGGGATGGGGCTGTGCTGAGGTGAATCGTCCCGGAGTCTACGCCAAGGTCAGTTCCTCTAACACGCTCCAGACTGGAGAGGAATCAGCAAATTATCCATCAAAGAACTTAATCAGTGAATTAACCATTTTGTTTTAAGTAATTAAGTTTTTTTGACTTAATATCACGATACAAAGACAGAGAATAACTTTACTAGATCCAAAAATTAATCTTGTTTTGATGCTCTTGTCTGTAGAAATCAGGATCATTTGTGAAGCTCATCAGATTTTAGTCAGAGCTGCTTTAAAATCCAATATTTGACCTCATCACTGAAGGATTTTGTCAGTCTGTGATGTGTTTTGTAAAATGAACCATGTAGTTGTTGCCGTAGTAGCTCAGTTTATATGAACATTAGACGTCCTCAGGTGTTTTCCTGTTTCTAAAAGCGAAGCATGCAAATGAAAAAACGCCATTTTGACCTTTTTCATCAACTACTTTTATGTAAGTGCTAAAGTATTGAATGTGTTCTCTGTGTTTATAATTTCTAAACTTCACTGGCTGCTGTGTGTTTCTGTCTCTGCAGGTCTGCCACTTCTCTGACTGGATCCAGTCCACCATGTCCTCTCACTGACGTCCTCCTGCAGAGGACAGATCCACTCTGTCTGCAGCTGCTGTCCATTTCATGTCAACACACTGACTCTTTATAAGAGGAACATATTTATGACTTTGTTAAGTAGCTGTTGACTGTTTGACTGTTTGTGGATCATGTTTTTAACAATGACAGTAAAATATCACCATGAACAACCTCACGCTGTTTGACAGATTCATTTTATCAGTCTGTTGTTTAGTGTTTTTTAAGTCAGTATTTTTATCTGTGTTGCTTTTAGACCTCAAGGTTGCCAGGTTTGAATATTTGTTGTGGGAAAGGGTTACCACAGCTGAGGAGCTCTTAAGCAAAGCCTGCCACCCCCAGCTGCTCCAGTGGAGTGGCCCAGAGTCTGTCAGATCAGACTGGGGCTGTGCTGGGAGAGAACTGTGAGGTGTGTGTGAGGTGTGTGTGTGTGGAGCATTGCAGCGACCTGGTGAAAATTTTAAAAAGTGGAATAAAATTAAAAAGTAAGATTAGTGAATAATGTTCTTTACTTTGAGATCACATAAACCCACAACACAACCCAGACTGAACTCTGATCTGTTTTCCCTTTGGATGAATCATACTTGTGGTTTTGCATGTTTCAGCCCACTTGTATCACAGCTAGCTGCTTTGCACACCACTCCATATCTATTGTCTATTTATTTCTTCATGATATGAAAATCTATTCACAGAGTCTATAATCCATCGCAGTAGAAATCTGTATTAAATGTTGTCAGTCATGAGGAGCTAATGTAGCTCAGACTTGTCGAATGAATCTGCACTTAAACTGTTAATTGATTTTCATGATGGACAGAAATTAATATGATTGATATATGATAATATTTAAGACTAACAAATTTTACAGTGAATATATTATATATAGACCTAAACCTAATGAATTTTGGTGTCTTATAAGTTTGAGAGCTGGGTATGGTAAAGTTACATTAATGACACAGTAATACAAATATGATTCATTCCTTTATTCATGTCGCTGCTGTGCTTTTACTCCAGCGGCATAATTCTGACAACGTTTCAACCACTAATGGAGAATATATTCATGAAAATACATTCATCCTTTGAAATGTAGCGTAGACAGTATAACGATGTACATGGCAGTGCCGCGGTGTGACGGAAGGGGGCAGCGGCGTCATGGAGTCTCACTTGTGATAAACAGCAGAGATACGCCGAGGAAGAGAAGACGAAGAAGAAGGCGACCATGTTGATTTAAAGGAAGAAGAAACACAATAGAGACGATTTATTTCAAGTAAAATTCAGTTATTAGAGCGACTTACAAAGAAAGAAACTGATCAGCCGCGAACTGGATATCCCTTGTAAAATAACAGACAAACTAAGGTAGGTTTTTCCGTGACTTTGAACCGTCCGGTTTCCGTTAAAAACATAAGAGTTGTTGTGAGCAGGCTAGCTAACGTTTGTGCTAAATTAGCCTTGAGGCTAGCGATCGTGCTATATAGCATTACGTTACAGATTAATTCACAAATAACCAACGATAACAACATGTATCATTATTGTCGTTTGACTTTTACGCATATAATTTTCAAATTAAAATCTTGCTCTTCATCTAAAGTCAAATACGAGTGTTGCAGCGGCTTAACAGCTAGTTAGCCTAAAGCTAACACTGGTTTCGCGTTAACGTTAGCCTAAAGTCGCTAATGCTGATTCTTAAAAGACGCAGCTCTCGAAATGTTATAGATTTACAAAGGAAAATGATAAACCTAATGAACCTACACAGATTGTTGAATATTTTATAAATGATTAATGTTAACTGTTTTGCAAATAAATTGTTTGGGAAATCTCAGCAACCAAAAGTAAGTTGACGTTTATTTGAATGGAAGAGACTCAGACTGTCACCGGACAGATATTGGCTGTGATTATGAAATTAGTTTCAGGCAGACTCAGAGCCTTCACTCTAGGACAGCCGTGTTAAATCAGTCTGTGCTTCTTAATCTGCCTCTGAAGGCTGACACCTGGCAGCTTCACCTGTGCAATCTAAACCAATCCATTTAATGAATTAGCTGCTAAAGCCTTTCACTGCTCTGAACTCCTGCAGGAGAGTGTTTGTCATCGAAGCTGCGGTTAACTCATTTGTTGTCATTGTTGCTTAATTCCCCACTAATGAGCTGAAACCGACCCCACCACAGGTTACAGGGACAAACAGTGATGTATTGAATGTATTGAAAATGCTCATGTCATTGGTTCTCGGTGTGCTGGAAAGTCTTGAAAAGAACTGATTTTACTTCCCTAAGGAAAGGCATAAGTCTTAAATCTAGTCTCCTGGCTGCTGTAAACAGTATGTTAGTTATAATATGTTTCTGTGTGTGATTGTTGGCTGTCAGAGGATCTTTCAAACTAAAAGTGAGGCAGGTAGACAGCGGGTTGAGCCTCAGGAAGCTGTTCAGTCGTTTTATACTGCGTTTCAAACACTTGGACTGCTGCTGCCACAGAAGCTCATCAGCTCGTGTCAGTTTTAGGAAAAATTTAAATGAACTTGATGAATTAAATTTTTTTTGTGGTTAATTCATCCATTGTTTTACTGCTTACCTAGATTCAATTGAATTAATTATATTGGTGGTAATTATTATTATTCTATAGTGTTAGGAACTACTGAAAAAATGGGCTATGATAGTATTAGACTATATTGTCCATACTGTTTTTCCATCTTTCATTTCACTCTGGCCTTTTTAACCATGATACAGGTTTTTAATTAAATTCTATGATGTATTAGAAAGGTCTTTAAAGGTCTTGATTTGTATTTTATGAGCCCTTCAATGTAAATCTGAGTTGTTGTTAACAACATGGGAAACAAGGAAAAAATATTTGTGCGACACAAAATTGATCTTAAGCAGAAATCCTCCATTTTCAACTTCTCAGTTTTACGGGTTTGTTGTTTGAATAATCGAGACACGGCAGATTAATTTATAATGATGGAGATTCGTCAGCTGCTTGTGATCTGTTTTCAAATCTTCGCTGGATTTCTTTCAGGTGACAAGTTTGAGTTGTTGGCTGACTTTGAGGAGGCAGCGGGTTGATCACGGCCACACTCAAACACTTCACACAGCGACCTGAAGACCTGAGGTGTCCACAGAGAGACGGTCGAACACCTGGAGCAGGAAGGAGACGCACACAGAGGACTCGACAGGGGTGGAAAGCTGTTTGGCTTTGGACTAGATAACCCCTCGTATGACTTGTGTTTTCAGGATCCATTTTCTTTTCACACGTGGAGAAACAGACACCCACACAGTGGAAATAAACAGAGCATTACAGACTATATGATTTTGGGGAAAGACTTGTACAAAGTTGGACATCCTTTTTTCAAGGGCAGGGATATTGAGCAACTGATGGACTCGAAGTGGAAACAGGAAATATTGTTCCATTTAGAAACAGAAGTTTAAGTATTGAACTCAGATTAAATTGAAGAAGCTATTCCCCAAGTTCAGATTGCCTTAGTTGTTCTATTTCAGGACTTAAACCGCTTTGATACTTGTTCACATATAATTTTTCTATATTGTGGGCAAGTATATTCATGCATATGAATGCAAATTTCTCTTCATTTTGAAGAGCTCTTGTGTAAAAAGGTGTTTTTTTGATGTTCCTGTACGTCAGTCACTCTGTTGTTGAAGGGGACCGAACTGCACGTACATGTGTATATGTAAATACTACCAATCCACTTCTGTTGTTAAAGCTTTGGACTTAAGAATAATAGAGAATATTGTTTGTTAATGCTTTATTAAACTTTTTTACTTTTGAAGAGAATTTTTAAAAAGAAAAACCTAAGAGGCAAAAATCTAATACTTTGAAGAAAAAAAAACAACAAAAGCAAGGAAAACAGGAAAAATGGCAACGGCCAGAACAGAAAACGTCGGCCCAGTCGTCATGGGACTGAACAAGCAGAACGGGCAGCTCAGAGCAGGACAGACCAAACCAGCTTCAGTCCAGCCAGCACCCACGACTCAAGGGAAGGCTCTGGGTGCTCTCCAGAAAGCAGGCGGCGCCCCCCAGGACGGAGGAGGCATCAAGTTTGGAGATGACTGGAAAAAGAGCCTAAAGCTCCCTCCCAAAGACAACAGGGTCAAAACCTCAGTGAGTCCCATTGAACAACAGTTTCTTACCATACTCTAACCTGTAAGTTCTTTTCTACCTTTTCATCCTGACCCTTCTGTCCGCTGCAGGATGTGACGTCCACCAAGGGGAATGAATTTGAAGATTACTGTCTCAAACGAGAACTCCTGATGGGCATCTTTGAGATGGGCTGGGAGAAACCATCCCCCATCCAGGTACGCTTCATTTCTATCAGTGTTTCTTTATTGATCAGAAGAACCTCACATGATCATCATCCACTCAGCAGCTTTTCTGGAGAATAGCTTTTTATTCCTCTGTGCCGGCGGCGGTCAGAGCGGCCATTTTGTTTCCAGGTTGTCTGTCTGTCCGTCTCGTTCTCAGGACATCTCAGAAACACCTTGACTGAACTTCTTCAGATGTGGCACAAACATTCACCAGGACTCAAGGATGAACTGATTAGACTTTGGTGGTCAGAGGTCAAAGGTCACTGTGACCACAAACACTTTTTTAGCCATAACTCCAGACTTCATTGCAATTATGACAAAATTTCACACACATGGTTCATATTTTCTCTGAGTCTGGATAAACAGGAAGTGACCTGGAACTAGTCTGAGAGGAGGAGGAGCTGATTCTAGTTTTAATGACTGTACAGTCCTTGTGGTCACATGTCTGAACCACTAACCTGTCAGGAGGCTTCATGGTTATAGACTCAATGTTTGGAACTCTTTTGGTTCATTATAACTCAGTCCAGATTTATTGCAGTTTAGTGCTTATTATCTTCACAGGGTCAAACATGTAAAACACAGTTTCAGCTTCCAGGATGAAATAAAATGTAAAGTCAGCGACACAGTGTAGAATCGTTGTGTATATAAGACCATGATGTGTTTAGGCATTGTGTTGTCACAGACTGAGTCTAAAGACGAGATCTTTGGTTGGTTGCAGGAGGAGAGCATTCCCATCGCCCTGTCTGGACGGGATATTCTGGCCCGGGCTAAAAATGGGACGGGGAAAAGTGGAGCTTATCTGATCCCACTGCTGGAGAGGATAGACCTGAAGAAGGACCACATACAGGGTGAGAGCCTGAGCCT